ACGTACTGGAAAGCGCAGTGTGGGACGACCGCTTACCCGATGGACGGACGACCTGGTAAAGGTTGCCGGAAACCGTTGGATGCAGGCCGCAATCAACCGTCTCCGCTGGAAATCATTGGGAGAGGCCTATGTCCAGCAGTGGACAAGCATAGGCTGAGGAGTTATAAAGTACGGGTGGACACACTGGCCCACAGCCGAAAGTTACTACTTAGAGAACTGTTTGTTTCTTTCATCATCATCATCATCAACAGCCTATAATAGTCCACTGCTGGTCATAGGCCTCTCCTTAGCAAGGAGGTTTTGGCCTACTACGAGTATACCATGCTGGCCAGACGGGTTGGTATAGGGTTTGTTTCAAGTTTTCCTTCTCTTTGCAGTGCTGTTGTCCTGTGCAGTTTGTTCCCTTAGTCGGCTCTTACAGCACCCACGGGATGAATAGGGGTGGTGAAATTCCGTATTCTTAATAAGTCACCACACGGATTTCTTACTTTATTTCAAGAAAAATAGCAGAATATACATCGATCTCGACAAAAACAAACAATTACTTTAACATTAAAAATATAATAATTTCTGATAACAATGTCAGTACCTGCGTCGTCCTACGAAGCGACCCCTCGATAACACTTGACACGCACTATATGACAAGGGAGTAGTTTACTTAGTTATAACATGAGTCATGAGCTTCCCTGTGACAAATGACGTACACATTATATAGGGGTGCAGTTGAATGACCTCCAGAAGGCGTGTATAAGGGAAGGGCCGTATCCTATAATTATATTAGCACTACAAGCGGCTTCGTTCGATTAGACATTTATTTTTTTTAAAAAAACAGCAACCCACACGCTATTACAGACTACATCTCTGTACATCCGTTTAATTTAGTCTGGCTTAATTGAGTAACACACATTCATATATTGACGGTCCTGTTGGTCCAGCGGTTAATGATCTGACTGCTAAGCCAGAGGTCGTGGGTTCGATTCCCACCCAGGACAAATATTTGTGTGATGAGCACGATTGTTTGTTCTGTCTGGGTGTAATTTATCTATACAAATAAAGAAAATTGAAGTGTCTGTTTGTAATGTCAAAATAATAGATTTTTTCATCACATGGTTATTTCAACGATCATCATCATTCGGCGTTAATCTGCCGGTGACGCCCGGGGTCTGCTTTCTCCTACACTTTGCACGGTCTTCGGCATCCATATCACCATCACCATTCGATCAACATATATCTATCACCCATAAAACCATTGGCACGCATATCATCCCTTACAACGTCAAGCCAGCACTTTTTGAGTCTTCCCCTCCTACCGGGGCCCGGCGGAGGCGGCATGGCCAGGCATTTGTTCCCTACGTAGCTCGGCAGTTGCCGCAAGACGTGGCCATACCACCGGAGGCGACACTCTTGCGAATGTAACGGACACGAAGGCTACCACGGATACGAGAATTCTTCACACAGTCCTTCCACGTGACTCCACACATCCACCGCAACATATTCGTCTCCGTGACATGCAGCTCCTGCCTGTGTCGCGCCAATAACAGCCACGCCTCGCAGACATGTAAAAGGACAGGCCTAATGATGGATTTATAGACCTGTCCCTTGAACCTGACCGGCATTTTGGGGTCACAAAGGACACCAGTCATCTTACGCCAGTTAGCCCACGCGGCAGCATGCATGCCTTGATGTCTCAATCAATGTCACCGGAGGCGTGAAATACAGTTCCAAGGTATTTAATCTGGTTCATGCGCTCGACCAAGTCATCGCCTATGCGAACTTCAATCTGTCGAGTTTAACGACAAGTACTCGGTCTTCACCACATTTAGCTTCAGACCGCCGTTTTCAAGGGTCTCCTTCCATTTCCTCACACGTCGCACACTACCAGGCTATTTTTCCTCTCAGAAAAACCCTTTAAAAAATCCGATCCGGGAATGGAACCCGAACTACTAAGACAGCGCTTTTCAAATTAACACGTGCAACTCAACAGACACAGGTACCATACCAGCCTCTAAGTGGCCACTCCACAATTTCGACTGCACGGATGGCGTAGTGGTTTAAGCAGTCGCCACGCCGTTTTCTACTACGCTCGGTGTTGTGGGGATCGGCACAAAGTGTCGTCCCATCTGGGGATCGAATCCCCAGATGTGACGACACTTTGTGTGATCTACAAATTGTAGCTCTAAATCTGGGTGTGTTTTGTGTCCGTTTCATGTATGTTTGTGCAACTCCCGCATTAAGGAATATATCCTGTGTTGTGGGGATCGGAACCACAACACTCAGCGCAGTAGTAAGCGCCGTTGCGACCGCTTAAACCACTACGCCGTCAATTTTCTATGAGGCCGTGGCATTACTCGTGGCTCTCCAACAATTACGTATCTGCTAAAACAGAATTTATACCGTATTCTGACAATAAAAGAGAAGAATATAATCTTCGAAGCTCCCTTCCTTTGGGCTTTCCGAAAATTTTTGTAATTGGGTCACCAGTTTTCTTGCGGACAGAAGCATTAAGGTCGTTGTCGACGGTGCATGCTCCGACTTAAATTCGTAAATGCTGGTGTCCCACAAGGCTGTGTGCTGATAGCACACACCGTTTCTTCTTCATATCAATGACATGTTGCAAACTAGTAGCATCCATTGCTATGCAGATGATAGCACGGCAGATGCCCTTTACAGCGGCCGCCCAATATTTCTCGGGAAAACGTCATCGAGAGGCGAAACAAAGGCAAACGTCATCGAGGGCGAAACAAACTTGTGTCTAAAATTGAGATTGATTCTTCCTTAGCGGAGGTTTCAGATTGGGGCCGACTAAATCTAGTCCAGTTCAACCCAAAAAAGACACAGATCTGTGCGTTTAAAGCAAAGAAGATACCATTTGTCGTATCACCTCGGTTCGAGAGCACCTCCCTAACTGCCTCAGCCAGCATCGGAATCCTAGGCATCGACATATCGAGCGAAGTCCAGTTTCGGGGTCACTTAGAGGGTAAGGTCAAATTGGCCTCGAAGAAGCTAGGTGTACCGAACAGAGCAAGGCAGTATTTCACTCCGGCCCACCGCCTTCAGCTCTATAAGGCGTAAGACCGGCCGCATATGGAATACTGTTCTCATCTACATGCAGGGGCACCTCAGTACCAGCTTCTCCCTCTGGACCGCATCCAACGAAGACTCGAACGACTCGAATCGTCGATAGCCCGAACATCTCCGATCCTTTGGCGTTACGTAGAGATGTGGCTTCACTCTGCATTCTCTATCGCATATATCATGGAGAGTGCTCCGAGGAATTGTTCGGACTAATACCAGCCGCAACTTTCCGCCATCGTTCCACACGGCAAAATTTTAACCTCGTCACCTGGATAGTTGGCGCTCCATTGCTGTGCGCTTATCGAGACACTTTTTGCCCTGCATAACCAAACTGTAGAACGGGTTATCGTTTGCGGTATTTGCGGACCGATACGACCTTCAAACCTTCAAGAAAAAGAGCGTACTCTTGCCTAAAAGGCCGGCAACGCGTTTGTGACTGAGTTGCAGACGTTCATGGGCGGACCCATCTGCTCGTCTGCCCCCTCTAACATAAAAAAATACCACCTTTTTTCACCAAGTCTCTGAGTGAATTGCCATATGTTTTGCCTATGTTGCACTGGCAGTGTTCATTGGAGATTCAGCCTGACTTGGGTATTACAAGGTGTAATAAATAACTTTTATGTCATCGCATTAGCTCCTGTACACATACATAATTATATAGCTTTGGAATAATGTTTAAAATACCTAATTTTAATAAATTACTATCAATTCAATGAAATAATTTGTAAGAATTGGTGTCAAGCACCTCACACTTTTATGAAATAAATTAGTTGCTTTGTTAATTACCAAATTCTAGTAAGCTGTTACATTCTTTAAATTATAATGACTAGACTTTCTATTACTGTAGAATTAATTGGATAGTATAACAAACGATTTTCTACTTTTTTATTTGATTTGCTAGCTTTAGACTATAATAGTTATCCACAAAACAGAATCAAAAGCAAGTTTAATAACCAATGAGAGTGGCCATAGAAAGGCCAGAATGGAGAAGATTGGAGGAGGCCTTTGCCAGCTGGCAAACAGACACAAAAAAAGGCACAAAAAAATACTATATATAAATACAGCATAGGCATGTTTCTTAAAAAAATATTAGGAAACACCAAACTTTTACTTTCAATTTACAAGGTAAATTAGTGTAGTACTTATTAATATAGATACACAAAGAAGTGAATGATTTATAATAGTAACTTGTATGAGTGGTGAGTGAGTGAAGGGACTAAAAACAACCTGATTGTGTTCATTCAGGTTGTTTTTCACCTGTTACGTCAGCATCAAATGCTACATTCTTACACCTGAATGTGTTCAAAATGCAAAGCCCTTAATACATGTGGATAAATTCTGTTGACTAGTAATTTCATATTGTAAAAATGAAATGAAAATTATATTTTTTTTATGTGTAAAGTCAGTTAGTCAGCCATCAGCAAAATGTACTTGATTTTCATAATTAATAATAATAATAATTCGACTGCCGCAGCAAACTGTAACCTAACCTATAAAGCACAAATTTTAGTTCTATATGACATCAGCCAAACAATATAAAATGAATGATGAATATTTCTGAAAGACACACCATAACCTGCAAATTTTTTTTATTACCTGTCTACAGGGGCTAATCTCAATCTAATGTGTTATCATAATTTTCTAGTGGCTTAAAAAGATTAGTATATATCAGATACAAGGGTTCCTGAAGTAAAAGAATGAAAGAAAAAGCTATTACTGTTAATACTTCTTTGTTTACAGTTGTCAGTTTAAAATAAATTTAATAATATATAAAATATATGAAAGAAATTACTTATACTAAAGTAAATCATCTCTTTGCTGTCAATTTTGCTGTGTTATGATAACATTTAGGTATTACATGTAAAGCAGAAAGAAAACTATGTACAGCAGACTAAAAGTCGAATATATTTTAGGAAAAAACTTACCATCTTTCATCAACTGGCGCATCTCCTTGGTTCTTTGGAAATTGATCTCCTCTAACAACTGCTCCAACATCGTAGCACTCTTCAAGTACGTGGATCCTCCCAGAGCCATCTTTCAGTGAGTTAAAATATAAATTCAGGCGCTTTTCCCAAACAAACACTTCGAAGTGTCAACACATTCCAATAAGAGAAGATTTGAATGATGATGTGAGAGACAAGGCACATATCAACCGATCTAAGGCTCAATTATTAAGTTAGTGTTTCGAGTTACATCATTGACTAAGTACTATACACTTATATTTCATTGTAAATAATCATACATCGCCATCCTAAAGTCAAGAAAAGTAACAGGATTGATTCTGACACAATCGAGCCATACTGATGGATTGCATTATAGTGTTACCACTAATATTTTTTTGAAAGAAATGGAAAATATTAAAACATTTGACATTCTGATTTCTTATTATTCCTTTCAAAGTACTACTACTACGAGTTTAAAAAAAGTCTTTAAAACCTAATACTTTGACTTTTGTTACATTGTCCTTGAAATTATATACTTAAAATTTAAAGTGTTGGTAGTGTAATTCATTTTGCATATTGTAACAATTTCCTCCTAATTACACTGTTTACTTGGTGGTTGAGTGGTTTTTCTTTGTGAAACATTATAAATGCTAATGGTCAGAGCAGCTATAGGCATGGACACGCCTCATACGCAAGTGACTGATGACTCTCCGTCTCTCTCACGATGATTTATCAAAGTATTTTTATAATTACTATTTATACAAATTTACATCTACTGCTTCCTATTATTCCAGGAAAGTGGTGATTGTCTCCCTAACAGTCAGTAGACTTTCTTAAATTGTAAATCCGCTTCTTTCCTTTTAATTTTTATGTGATACTAGCGATCCGCCCCGCCCTCGCACGGGTGCTATGTAGATACTAGTAATTTAGTGTAAGTCTGGAGCTCTTAATTTTACTATTAATATGATAAGACACAGGACATCTTTACATGCAATATATTTTCGGCGTGCTCCTTTGTCCGTGCATTTTAAATCTCTATTAATAATAAATATAATAATCTACTAAGATTTAAATTTTTATGATATACTGTAAAATGCAAGTTTGATGTACATTAAATGCACAACATATCTACATTTTACACATTACTTATGAATGAAGATTACAAAAGTTTTGTTTCATCTGTTGAGTCCTCATTGACATCGGATATAAAATATTTCTGGAGATATGTCAACAACAAAAAAAAACTAACTCAATACCCTTAACCATGACATATAATAACAAAAGCTCTACAAATCACAAAGATATTTGTGACCTATTCGTTAGTTACTTTAGCACTGTATACGAATCTCCCACGTCTGATATTAGAGTGCCTGTCTTCTCTAACAATCGACAAGTTAGCTCATTAAGCACTATACACATTAATGAAAAAGACATTCTAAAGAAAATTCTTAATCTAGATGCCAACAAAGGTGCGGGACCTCCCTCTTTTATAAAACATTGTAGTAAAGAACTTGGCACGCCTTTGTCCACAATATTCACCAACTCAATTCGTTCTGGAGTGTTCCCAACGATGTGGAAAATGGCCCACATAGTCCCTATTTTTAAGGCCGGCGACAGGTCAAACTGTGAGAATTATAGGCCAATCAGTATACTGTCATGCATCGCTAAACTCTTTGAGTCTGTTGTATACGACCATTTATATTATCACTTTTCCCCGTACGTATCTCCGCGGCAGCATGGTTTCGTCAAGGGTAGGTCTACCCTTTCCAATTTACTAGTTTATAAAGATTATCTCTACTGCGCTTTTGATCGAAGAGAACAAGTAGATTCCATTTACACTGACTTTTCTAAGGCTTTCGATAAAGTTAACCACGTTTTGTTATGTATTAAACTTTCAAGCTACGGCATTCATGGCAGTCTGCTGCGATGGATCGAGTCTTATTTGTCCAGAAGGAGTCAGCTAGTTGCAATTAAGGGCGAGGTTTCTTCTCCATTTGTGGCATTCTCGGGGGTACCGCAGGGTTCGCATTTGGGTCCATTGTTCTTTGTCATATTTATTAATGACTTTTTAGAAAAATTAACCAATCACTGCCTGCTCTACGCAGATGATCTTAAGGTCTTTTCTATCATTAAGAGTACCCAGGATGCGGAAATACTTCAAAAAGACCTAGAGAGCATAGACAGTTGGTGCGTTGAGAATTATATGACCTTAAATGTGACCAAATGTTGTGTTATCTCTTTTACAACTAAATCTCAGAAAGTACTGTTCAATTACAATCTTAATGGTCACTCTCTTAAAAGTAAGCAGGTTGTAAAAGATCTCGGTGTTGCTTTTGATGAAAAATTGACTTTTCGCGAACATTATAATAATATACTTAGCAAAGCTTCGAGCCTTCTGGGATTCATATTGAGAGTCACGAAGGAGTTCAGGAAGGCTCGTAGTCTTCTCCTCCTTTTTAATGCACTCATTCGCACTGTACTAGAGTACAATTCACCTGTCTGGTCTCTTTACTATGCTGTCCATATAAATAGAATAGAATGTATCCAAAGGAAGTGCCTCAGAATATTGTGCTTCAGATACAACGTTGGCCGGGATGTTTGCTCTTATGAAGACAGATTAGACAAGTTAGTGGCTCTCCCTTGAATCCCGCCGCAAGTGTCATGATCTGCTATGTCTCCATAAGATCATACATTCCGTTGTTGACTGTCCTGACTTGCTTTCCCAAATAAATTTTAACACGAGGTTGAGGTCACGTCAGCGTCACTACCGAAGCTTCACTTTGAATGTGCATCTAAATAATACTTCTTTTTAACCGACTTCAAAAAAAGGAGGAGGTTCTCAATTCGACTGTATTTTTTTTTTTTTTTTTTTTTTTGTATATTTGTTACGCGATTACTCCGGCAATTATAAACCGATTTGAATAATTCTTTCTTTATTTGGTAGGTCATACGTCAGAGGTGGTCCCATTGTCACCAGGTCAGGATCTGATGATGGGATCCTGGGGAAATCGAGGGAAACCCTCAAATTTTGTAGGCATATACACTGTTTATCAGAAATTATCTTAATCTATGTAGATTTTTGCATCTAATGGTCACCATCTGATGTTGCTGAGCTGATGATGAAGCTGATGATGAATGGTTTAGGAGTATGGGATCTCTGTAACAAAATTATGTAATACCATCGAATTTGAATGTGTTTGAGTCTAATTAATAAGGACTCCGATCCTATGTGATATTCAGGGTCTGATGATGGAGACGGTAAATAGCCATGGGAACTCTGTAATAAAATAAAGCAATTCCGCCGTGTTTGTGCTCATTTGATTCGTCTCGACTAGGAGCTTCATGCTAGTCGATTTTTAACCAACATCAAAAAAGGAGGGTTTTTGATTCGACAGTATGTTTTCTTTTTAACCGACTTCCAAAACACAAAAGAGGAGGTTCTCAATTCGTCTGTATTTTTTTTTTTATGTATGTTTGTTACGCGATTTCTTCGTCAATTGTGGACCGATTTTCAAAATTCTTTTTGTAATCGAAAGGGTATGCTCCCGAATTGGTCCCATTACCACCAATTCAGGATCTGATAATGGGATCCTAGAGAAATCGAGTGAAACCCTCACAATTATTGGGAATTTGACAGCCCGGACAACGTGTTTTAGCTACGAGTATTTCTTTAGCCAAACAAACCATGGCAACTGTCAGAGACTGCGCGATGTGATGCGCAGAGAATTTGCAGTATTTATGTCACCACAGTAATTTTCGTGGTATTAAGAAGAAAAGGTTGAAATTTTGTATTCTATCTTGTTAAAATAATTCGGATAGACGTTTAGTTGCTATGGATGGCATCGCATTTCGTTTGTAAGTAATTTTATACTTAATTTATTAAAATAGTTCTAAAAAAAACTCTTAAATTTTGGGTGGGTCAACTAGGTTAATTTCTAACATACTAGTATTAACCCTTCTAGTTGGAACTCCTTCTATAAAATATTGAGCATATTTGTTGAGTAGTCTCACTAAAGCTTCCCTATCTTCACCTTCGAGATCAGTGTCAATTGAATCGGAAGTTATTTTGTTCGGTTGCAACTCACAAGAATTTGACTGTTTCTTAGAAAAGAATTTAAGCTGATCTTGATCAGTTTGGACGCCAATGTCATTTTCATATCCTACACTAAAAATGGTAAAATAAATCCTTTTTAAAAAAAAAGTTGAACCGACTTCAAAAAACACCGACAAAGAGCACTAAAAATTAAAAAATAATTACAAATCCAAGTAAAAAACTATAATAAGTACCCTCAATGTAACAGGTAACATTATAATACCAATAGTCCCTTCTAGTCTGTTTGAAGTCGGTGCCAAGCTCGATGTACAATAAGTAATACTGGTCTATGTCAGCTTTATATTAGCACAATGAAAAATTAAGAATTCAAAATAATTCGAATGAAACATCGAAGATTTTGTTAATTAATAAAGACCAACCAGATCAATTACGTGCGCAAACTTATCAACTACTTATTAAAGAATTCAAAATAATAATATAATTGGAGATGTGCGTCCACTTTAGCTCATCATGTTTTGCGCAGCATGAAGACTGTTGCAGCTGCCGCGCTACATTCTACCATGCCTATCAAGCACCTATTTGGCTTGGCACCGACTTCAGACTAGAAGGGACTATTGGTATTATAATGTTACCTGTTACATTGAAGGGTACTTATTATAGTTTTTTACTTGGATTTGTAATTTGTAATTTAATTTTTAGTGCTCTTTGTCGGTGTTTTTTGAAGTCGGTTCAACTTTTTTTTTTAAAAAGGATTTTTATAATCCCATTGTTAGAATGTGTCGTCTTTATAATGAATTATTACCCCAACATTTGGACACCCTTGACATATTTAATACCAAATTTAGTAAATTTAAAAATAATGTTACGCATATTATGTCATCAAGGTTGGTCTGATATGTTAAACGTCTTATACATTTTAAATACGTTTCAAATTTTATACTTATTTTTATTTTTATGTTAATACTTAGCTCTTTAGGTTGCATGTAATCTCATCTTGTATCACCTATATTGCCATGTTGTGTACACATATTTAGGAGCATAGCTAAAATCGAAACTGTTTGTGTTAGCTATCTATAAGACTAAGCTTTGTGTTATGTTCTGTCTTGTGTGCCTCAATAAATAAATAAATACATTTATTTGGATAAAGAATGATACTGTTTTGTTCAAAATAGATTCCTAAATTATATTATAATATTATTAAAATGGTTCCTGTACGTTATTCTTAGGAGACATACAATTACGGCAAACGGAAAGTCCGTTCAATTTCTTCCTTCTCTAAATATTTGCCGTATAAAGACGCAAAGTGTCCAAAGTCATTTTAGCGATTTAACTGAGACTTTTTCTGACAACAACGTTCATGCCATCTAGTGCATCAGTTTCACCAGGCTGCGTCTATTTATGAGGAATTTTTTTTGAACATTACCTTGCGAAGCAAGAAAACAAACAACATCCTGTAGCCAAATCATAACGGACTTGAGGGTAAATTTCCAACTTCAATTTGTGCTTGCATCTGTTCATTTTTACTTTTGCAATGTGTTCTAGTTATTAGGTAGGTGCTTGCCTAAAAAAAATCGAAGCACAAAACACAATAAATTAAATGTTTTTATCAATATTCTAGCGTCTCTTGTGATATCGCCAGCTACAGTATCAAAGCATAAAAAATGTCGGACATGGCTTTGTGGGCTGTGATCTATTCTAGGTCTATTGAGTGGAGATAGTACACTTAAGCGCTCAATATCTCTTACGACGTAGGACATAGAACAAAACCTGGACATAGACCAAGTAAGCACAAAATTTTCATTACTGTATCGTGTTACATATAAAATTCAAATTGTTTTTTTGTTATTTTAAAAGCAAAAAGATTTAAAACTTCCTTAACCAACAGGTGTAAAATTTAAATCTTAACAATACTGCATTTAAAACTAATTTTCGATAAATTGGTCGATAGGACAAATAAGCACTAGGGTGATGATTTTTCATACATAGCAACTCTGAATCTTCTAACTAAGTGTCAAACACTACACTACATATCTGTATTCACCAGTCCCACTATTGACTTGTTTGAATTTTATCTGGTGTCTCCTGAGGATATCAAGAAGATTAGTCATATAATCAAATTCTCTCTCTACTCCGATACCTTTCGATACTCTTCGATTCTCTTTATGGCGTAGAGCTCATATTATTCCTCTCCCATAAGATAATAACACTTCACTTCCTGAAAACTGCCGTCCTATTTCTATTCTTCCATTTTTATCTAAAGTATTCGAGGCTTGTGCACATAAACAACTCACAGCACAGTAAACACCAAAGTCACAGTATTAGTCCTAGTTGACTTCTCTTATGCCTTTAATATCTATCCTATGCTATCTTATGGTTCATTCTCAGATACTGGAATGGTTCTCCTCCTTTCTTCAGGGGCGACCGCAGTGTGTTCATGTTGATGATTTATCATCAAGTTAGTGTGACCTTCACGCTGGCGTTCCACAAGGCGGAATTTCACCTCATCTCTTTTTCTCTGTATTTATTGACCTCGTAACTCAACATCTTCAGTGTGCGTATCACCTGTAAGCTGATGATCTGCAGATGTACTCTCAGGCAAAGGCAGAATATGTAACGCAAACTATCGATGAGGTCAATAGAGACCTGGAGGTCATAGAATCCTGGTCGATGAGACTTGGACTGTCGGGTAATCCAACCAAATGTCAGGAGATCATAATAGGCAGCAAACGTATTATAGGCAGATTGGATATTGCCTCTATCTCACCGATCGTCTTCAATGGTTTATTCCATTCAGCCCTGTAGTTAGAGATCTGGGCTTACTCATGGACTCAACCCTCGATTGGCGAGCTTAAGTTACTAGCGTGAGCCAGAAAGTAACTGGCAATTTAAGAACATTTTATAGTCTCAAGAATTTCCTACCTCCAAAAACTAAAACTACCAATCTGAATGCAGACCTTCTAAGTAAGCTAGACCGTCTTCTCAATAACTGAATTCGATACATCTTCAATCTTCGGAAGTATGACAATGTGGCTGCTTTGCGTTCCCAATTCGCTTGCACCGCAAACAGCGTGCACATATCTCTCTATTTTAATTTCTTAACTCACTGTTCTCACCTACTTACCTGGCTCCCTACTTCCGTTACCTGTCTTCTAATCACAACAGAAATCTTCGCTCAGATCACAGTCTGCTTCTCTTATGTCCCTCCCCAATTCCGACTTCATTAACTCTTCGTTCCTTGTTCAAGCAGTACTGCTCTGGAATGCGCTACCACTCGCAGTCAGGATGTCAACAAACCGCTGTATATTCATAAAGACGGTAAACCTATACATACTAATTTATACCTATACATACTAATGTATACCTCATATTCCGGTATTCATAGTGTACGAATATAATATATCTATGTATCTATATAAATATACTTGTATATTTATGTATATGTACTTATGATGTGTAGTGTTGTATGTGTGTATATAAATGTAATTTATGTAGTGAACCGTAATTATTTTCACTGATCACTTAATATTATGACGTAACCTCTGAGCACCTACCTTACAAGATTTCTACACCACCCAAAGGTTGACTGGAAGAGAATGTCCTAGGTATTAAGCCCGCCGATGTACAAAAGTGTATAAAGTTAAATTAATATAATATATGCCGTTTTTAGACTGTCCATATACTTCATGTGCTCTTTAATTTGAGTATTTTTCAGGCTTGATCCCCAGTGTGTGTGTTTACTGTTCCAGTCTACTTCACAAATATATCTTTTTCCAAGCGTTTTAAAATTGTTCTGAAACATCTATTCATCAATATTGAATAGTGGTGGACAATTTACAGCACTTATAATTATGGAATTAATCTTTTCTTCGAATGTGACTGTAATGGCTTGCAGGTGATCTTCTCTGAACTGACTATGAATATGATGTTTGATGCTATTTTTTATCAACATAGCTGTTCCACCATAACACGTTTGTATCATTTAGGTGTGTGTCAGAGCATTATACATCATTAGCATGATATTAATTTTAATAATTTCAAGCAAACTCAAACTCAAACTCAAACTTTCTTTATTTCATAAAATTTTCAAAATTGTTTGAAATCGTCTTCCATGTAGACTCTAAAGTCATAGATCAACACACACAAAAGCAACAATCTCTGTTTTGTCAAATAGTAACCAAATAAATTTAACAAAATCAAACCCATACAAAATCTATGATATGCCTGTGCCGATCTACAACCGCCCGTTTCCAAGGGGTTGAGCCTTATGAGAAGAAAGGGCAAACAAACTCATGGCCACTCTTTTGCAATTCACAAGTAGATACAATGGCACTATTAAATATATCACAACATTGTTTTGATGTGTGCTAGTATGTCCGTTATTAAGGACTTAAAGGTGAAAAAACAACGAAGAGAAAACAAGATTAAGAAGAACAAACGAATACAAGAGAAAATAAAGTGAAACATAATAAATAGAAAAAATAATAAAAAACATACTAGCCACACCACATTTTTACTTAAGAAAGAAATAGCCTGCGCTAATTAATCCCAAGCATTAAATTTAGTTCCTTTTCAAGAATTAAGCCATTTGCATTCCATGTTCCAATCAGTGTGGTAATGAGGTTTACTAGTATACCCATTTGTTGTATTAGTAAATCTATTTTTAAAGCTTGTTTATTTATTATTTCAAGTAAAGAGGTTTCATATTCTTAATAGGTTTGGTTACCTTTGGTTAGTTTGATCTGAACTGGCTATATGGCTATTTTGTTATATTAAAATCTGTTGTGTTATAGTTGTTTAAATTGGAATTGGATTGGTTTATTGAGTTAATTTTATTTGGATAACCTTTTGGCATACATTTCACAATTGTTTTTAATCATAAATATGTATATTAATCGATGTGGCTGGTAGAACAGTGTACATTATTCTAATTATTCTAATTGCCAACAACAAATTAGAATAATCAAAGTTGACATCAGAAATTTTTAGACTCACAGTATGGCAGCATTAAGTTGTGTATTAATGTAACATTAAAAATCTTTAAAAGGAATGTTAACAAATCACCCAAGAATTTCATAAAAATATCATAATTTTCATTTGTGATCCAAGCAAATCAATTCCTTTTTTTTTCTGGCAATTGAAAAACGTTATTTAAAGTGACAGTGACAAATGACAGCAGACAGGCTGAAATGAAAATTCGAAAATGACGGAAAAACGCAGAAAAATTCCATAACTAAACAAAACCAAACGAGTAATAATGCTTATGTTGCGTAATTTATGTTATTCTCTGTCCCATAATCTAATACCCGTCATATATATACAAATATAAGTAACGTGTGAGAACAGTGTGGCATCAGAGATGTGTTCAATACGTCGGCCAACAAAGTTCTTGGGTATGCTCAAGAAGTCTTCGCGTATCAGTGGTGTGGTTCTGCGGCGCATGCATGCAGTTGGACCTGGAGGAGACCCAGATAACGAGTACCATTCCAGAGTAGGCCGCTTGCGGTTTGGTGCAGGTGCATTAGGACTAGCGCTGCTCGCTGCTGATCTTGTTTTTAATGGTGCTTAATTTATATTCCTACATTAAAAATCTTAACCTTTATCAATCGCTGAATTTAAGGCCCACTTTAAATGGGAAAGTAATTAAGAAGTTTGTCATTATTTAAATGTAAACTGCAAAATGATTTCTTAGGATTTGCGTACTATAATTTCCCTATCATCAAGCCGCTTTAGTGGACAGAATATCATTGAAATATTCAATATCTTAAATGATACCAAATATATTGAAAAATGGTCTTCAAATATGAAAAGTCCCTATTGTTCAGGTGTCTCCAACATTATTTTTATTTTTTTTATGTTAGAGGGGCAGACGAGCAGACGGTTCACCTGATGGAAAGTGACTATCGCCGCCCATGAGTGTCTGCAACTCAGGCGTCACAAACGCATTGTCAGCCTTTTAGGAAGGAGTAACGCTCTTTTCTTAAACATTTGAAGGTTTTGAACATCAATGTTTTAAAAGATTTTGTACAAAAATACACAATTTTTAAAGATTAGATATTCATTTTCCAAATACATTTCTGCTAATATATCAATAATAATTAATCATCCCAATAAATTAATTAACATCAAAAGAGAATCTTATTGGAATACATATATTGACACTTGTGTCCCTAATAGAATAGGCAGAGAAGAGAAATTAAAAATGTATATTTTGCCAATTACAACTGATTCCTGCTAATGAAATAGCCTACTGCCATCCACCACTGAATGAAGGCCTTCCCCAGTTATCCTCAACCCAAGACCAAGTCTAGGGCGACTAGCATTAGTTAGTTTTGTTAGTAGGCTGATGATGACAATGAATGAAATAGGCATTTTGGCATGATATCCTCAAACTGTTTATAACAGACATTTCAAGATACAGCCATACGACCCTCAACTGCTCCATCCATATCTATTATACAATATACTTTCGACAATATAAATCCATACATTTGCATATACTCACCAATATTCTTTAATATTAAACTATGGGCATGAACCATCTAAGTTATATAAAATGCCTTAAGGATTTAGGATTTTGCCTAGCTCTGAAAGCATCTACTTGCAAAAGTATGTATGGGAATTAAAGTGATCATGCATGTTTAGGTATGACAACCTTTGAATGGTCTAATGGTAATTACCCATGTACCTATAAAAGTTTAAAAATTAGTATACACAAACATACTTTGTTGTTTATTTTTAAATTCTAGTGGATTTTAATTTTTAGATATTTATATCGCCCACAGGTGGGCACCTCACTGGGTAATTTTAGTTTGCATTCCATCATGTGGCTTATTTCTAGGGCAGCAGGTGTACACAAGAAACAAAATCCTTATTGTATCCGATTTTTAAGTCTTAGTGTAAGGACTCTTAATTTTTCTTTGTTTCAGAGAAACGATTTTTTAAAGCTGCAAAGGTTGGAAATTTGGATGAAATACGTCAGTAAGTATTCCTTGGTAGTGGGTAGTAATATATAGATCTAATAGTTGAAGATATTTGAACATCTCCAGAAATAACTTTGCCAAATATGATATCTGTATCATCCAAATATGTAGTTTAGGCCCAAACTACCAAAAAGGAAACTTATTTACTTCCACCCATTTTCGCAAAATCCACCCCAAGTGTTTGTAGAAAATCAACAATAAAACAATGTAATTTTTTTTTGTAAACATACTACAAGACGAAAGCATGCGAATACAATAATCGTAAACCGCCTCTGGCTACCTATAGCGATGTAAACATAGTTTACAATTATTTTCGGCAAAATTCAATTTCTCTAATAAGTAGTAATTATAGAATGTAACATTATTAGATCATGGAAAATTAATAATTTAGTAGTAAAACTAAACTAAAACTAGTATTAATATTAGTTTTGTTGATAAAAACAAAGTAATTATTACCATTTTCTGTTATCGTAAGGGCTACAGTTTTAAACAAGTAATATTTGTACATACCTCAATAAACCTTTTTATATTGCCACCCAACATCTACGACCTACCTGTTTGATAGAAATTAATAAGAACAATGCTAATGTGGCAATAAACTTTGTCATAGACAGTTGGCGACGTCGGGTAAGAATGAACTGGAGACAGAGAACGCTTTAGTCAACAGACAGCATGCACTGGGCTGGACCGCGCTCATGGTGGCGGCTGCCAACGACCAGGCCGCCGCCGTGCGGGAGCTACTCCGCCTCGGAGCTCGCCACGACGTGCGTGAGCGCTATGCCGGCGCGTCTGTCTCCGCCAATAACGCGGGGCTGCATCCACTGGAGGTGCTGCAGCGCCGCGAGGATGAATTTTGTCCCACAATGAACGCTAGAGCGTCATTCCTGGGCTGGACGGCGCTGCATTACGCGGCGTTATCGGACTCGTCTGGTTCAGCAACGGCATTATTGGAAGCGGGTGCCGACCCCACAGCTCGCGATCATGCAGGCCGGCGCGCTTTACACTATGCCCGTGATCCTTCGCCCACGCGCGATATCATTTTGACCCATACCCGAAAATGGGAGGAAGCCGCGGCCGCAGCGGCGGCAGAGGAGCGACGACGTTTCCCTCTAGAGCAACGTCTGAAGCAGTACATAGTAGGGCAGCAGGCGGCCATCGAAACCGTCTCGGCTGCTGTACGTCGTAAAGAAAACGGTTGGGCGGACGACGAGCACCCGCTCGTGTTCCTGTTTCTAGGTAGCTCTGGTATTGGCAAAACAGAACTGGCAAAGCAACTTGCCCGGTACATGCACCGGGACGATCCTGCTGCCTTCATTCGACTGGATATGTCAGAATACCAAGAGAAGCACGAGGTCGCTAAGCTTATTGGAGCACCGCCAGGGTATGTGGGCCACGAGGAGGGTGGACAGCTCACTCGAGCGCTGGCACGCCGGGCTGATGCTGTGGTGTTGTTTGACGAAGTAGATAAGGCGCACCCTGACGTACTCACAGTGCTCCTGCAGCTGTTCGACGAGGTAAGTTCTTTTTTATGTTGTCTTGTAATTTGTGAAATATTTGAGTAATTACATTCAAAAACAAGTTGGCTGGCAGGAGCTGGATGGGAGAAGCCCAAAATCGATCTAAGTGGCGTGCAATGGGAGAGGCCTATGTCCAGCAGTGGACTGCGATAGGCTGATGATGATGATGATATTTAAAAACAAACAATATAGAAACATCTTTAACTTTTATAATACAACATCGACTAACTTTTGCTGAACCGAAAAATAAATTATTTCACACTGGCAACTCTTGCGATAATTGATTTTGGATAAAATAGATCCTTGCCTTTAAGTCGCAAGTTAATTAAGTGCCTATGTGCCTTTTCTATATTAAAGTAATTAATTCCATTGTAGCAAGCTGATAGCGAGTCGATGCTTTTCCGCAGGGTCGCTTGACAGATGGGAAAGGGAAATTAATAGAGTGCAAGAATGCGATTTTTGTAATGACGTCAAATTTGGCCGCGGACGAAATCGCTCAGTATGGGTTGAAATTACGACTCGAGGCGGAGACGCGCGCGGCGCAGCGCGTCGGAACTCCGCAGTCTGCTACGCTCGAGGACATCCGAGGTACCACCGCGACGCCGCACATACGAGTACATACAAAATTATTACATTTTCCGATATGATTTATTCAGTTACCCTGGAAAATATTTAGTGAACTTCCTGTTTAAGACTCCAATTTCATACTTCTAGTACAATTCTTTCAGCCGAATGACGACTGAGATCGTTTGGCCAAAATCACATGAGCATCAGGAAGACATTTTTTGGATGAGCAAACCTAATTCGCGAAGCATGAAGCATAATAATACTCGTAGGCTCAGCATTTGATTCTCGTAGTCTTTCGTGCTTTAGTACGTAAATAACATCTCCAATTCGACTAAGTCGCCTCGCAGTTTCTCCTCTTTTAATATTTTTTTCTCATCACAAATGCGTATACACACTTATAGCTTAAATGATTAATGATAAAGAAGTTTCAGACCTAAAACCCAACTAACTTTAAGGAACATTTAAGGTAGACTATTTCTTTTCGTTCGACACTCATCCCCATTTCGTAACATAGTCATAGCATCTTTTGATACAGATATTAAACTCGTACAGCTCATTAAAATGTACTTATCCCTGCATATAAATGTTGGCTATCTGTAAAAAATAATATTATTATCAAAAATCTACTAAACCTAAAACTTATCAGACCTTGGACCTTGAACTTATTCACTGTAGCATATCAGTGATGTTATACACATTAATGTATCACTAACTGTGCCAGCTACTTCCTACACATAAAATTTGGCTTTTCCCTGGACTCTTACGAATATTTTAAGATCAAATTGAGCCAAATCTGTCCGGAGTTTTAGTGAAATTAACTTTAATAAATGAATTGTTCACACAGAAGAAAACATCTGGCATATATAATCTATTTTTGCGAGGCAATTCAGGAAAAATTATAATATAAATACAGTCAAGAATGGTTTGCTAAGAAAAGAAGTACAGCATAAGTGACAAGATTATCTATTTAATAAAGTATCATTTATTTTACAAATAAAGGTTTCTCAAAATTCAAAAAGTACTCAAATTACACTATTATGGTTTGACCTAAAACTCCTATGTGCGGCAAACAGTCAGAAAATAGTTCGGTGATGTTTAACCATTCACTTAGGGTTGGCATTGTCAATTTTTTCAGCAAAGCATCCTGTGGATATACCGAATGACACTGAGGAATGTCTGGAGGTGACGCGGGTGTTCAAAGACACAGTTGTACAACCGATCCTAAAGCGTCACTTCGGCAGGGACGAGTTCCTGGGGCGTATCAACGAAATCGTGTACTTTCTGCCATTCTCGCGCCAGGAATTGCTGACACTAGTCAACTTAGAGCTTAAACGGTGGGCAGATAAAGCTTTCACGAAGCATTCTGTCGAGCTCCGCTGGGAAGGTGGAGTGCTCGGCGCGCTTGCCGACGGGTGCGTATGAATTTTTTTGATACCAAAAGGTAGAAGATACCAACTCAAAAATGCGTGTTGTAAAATGCCCATGGTTGAAACTGATACTTCTAGAGTGTATGTTAATAAAATATTTTTGAATTCCCCAAATCTTAGATACGACGTGCATTACGGCGCTCGTTCGATAAAGCACGAGGTGGAGCGCCGTGTGGTGAATCAAATAGCCCTGGCTGCGGAACGAGGTTCCCTGGTGCCGGGCTGTGGGGTGCTACTCACGGAGCAAGGCGGTCGAGTCTACCTGGCGGTCCGGCGCCCCCCCTCCAAGGACTACACGCCCTTAGACCTTAGTGTTATTTAAATTACGACACAAATGCATTATTAGCATAATTTACTTTAAAAAAAAATAGTACGACGTTATGTGTAGTTTTAATCGCCCAATCAAATTATATTTTAGATAATAACTCCAAAAACTGTATTAATATACGTTTTACAAGCTTAGCAAGTCTTTAAGCTTTTTTTCAAAAGGGCTTGTCATTAAACATAATAAACTCATTATGGTTATAGTGACTTCATAATAACATGGCTCAATCACTTTTCGGCCGCCAATCACACCGAAACTTCGTAACTGGGTACGAAAGAAATAATTTCGTCCTCGTATTTATCGCATTAATTATTATAAAATGCTAAAGATTGCTATCATCACATTAGACGCATTTGTTTGATTGAGTGGATTCTGCCGGGTGCAACAACAATAAATTATTTCAATTCTGACGGAATTTGTGGTAAAAGTAAACAAAACAAAAAGAAAATTACATTATGCAATGATTGAAACTTAAAAACCTATAGTTATAGTTTTGTACTGATTCCTGTTATTGTGCGATTAATTTTCTTATTTTGATTAATGCTTATTAAGGTTTACATACCATATCATCTATAAAATGTACGTCGGTCTTTAACCTTTACCGTCTCTCCATATTGCTCTGATCTTTTTTAACATGGAAAGTTTTAAGTCATTTTCATTCACTAGGTCTTAAAAATATATATTGAATTTAGTTACCTCCGGGCGTACACAATTACAATCTGTACCTACAATACATTTCTTTGAATGCTTATGTTTCTTAGGCAAGCATGCTATAGTCCATCAACGTTGTGCGCGACCGTCCTGCGGGGTGACAGACGGTGGCGGGGACCAGGTACTCAAGATGTCAGCGGGTAGCGGGTGGTGTAGCGGGGAAGGGAAACGCTTCTCTTCGTGTGTAGCCGTGTGCTAGAATGACGCGCTACCTCGCCCCCGCCACTGTCTGTCACCCCGCGGGACGGTCGCGTACGAGATTGCCGGGTTATAATACGTCTTGTCCCTTTTTCACAGTAGTAGCCATATTTAAAAATGACTTCTGGTCGAAATTTTAATTTTAATTTTGTCAGTTATGAAGTGGTAAAGTTCGAAGACAATACTAACTAGGTAATGTCTTTTTACTACGCAACCCAGTTTTGTGTAAGGAAAAAAAACGTGTTTACGAGCACGAATTTTGATTTGTTTGTAACTAGTTACGAAACTTGGATTTTGTAGGGGACCGAAAGAACTAAACTCAAAGAGCGAGTTCAAATTAGCTAATAGCTATTTAATCCAAGGAAAAATAAAATGGGGGTACCACAAATATCTGACCTGGGACTTATTTAATTATTGTTTTAATAAGTTGCCACATTAAAAGGGTATTGAGAAATAAAACTAAATATTAAGTAGTGCTTATTTTATTAAACTTCGCACCGTTATATACAAATATAATGTATAAATAAATAACAATTCTTTACAAAATATAATCGATTATGTGCCGGCACTGCGACCGCACATGAAGGTCGCGCGCGACCGAAATTAAACACGTGTGAAGGCCTCTCTGGTCGTGCCGCTCACCACTTGTGTGACTCGGCACTCAATAATGAAGAGATAAACAATTATACACATTAGCAGGCGTACACATAGAAGGACGATATGTGGTGTGAGGTGACGGCGTGATGGAGCGTGATTGTGATATGCACATGCATGCATGACACGTGTCGCTTTGACATTTAAATGTTTTATTCTAAGACATTTACAACTTCTGGTCAGCTGATATTGTTATTATCTAATACCTACATACAAATTAGGTATATGAATAGAAACAGTAATATTAATATATTCTGTGTAAGTATCCAAATAATTTATTGATATATATGTTTTCGTTGTAGTCACGTGCTTCACATCCGAATTAAAAATAAAATGGTTATTAAAATATTGACATCTGGATATCTTAGTATAAAGAGTGACTATAAATTAATGTGATTTCGGCACTGATGATTCAGAATATTCTTTTTAGGGTAGTCAAGTGCGATTAGATTTATACACGACACGAAAGAACGGTAGAATGATTTTTTTTTAAATCTTTGCTTCTTCCTATCCATTTTAATTGGACTAGTTATATGTATAAAAAGTAGGTGCACAAAAAGACAAAAAACAACATTAAAAAGTAGGTATTGCAGGTTTACTTAAAGGTAAACGAGAGTATTGTGGTAGGTATAGTAGTAAGTTTCAGAACAACCTTTTTTTAATATATTGCTGGAAGTTAAACAAAATAGTAAGTAATGGAATCTGTTTTCTATAACAATGTTCCCAAATGTTTCTAATATTGCATCCGAATATACAAAATATTCGGATAGATCAATCATCGACTGATGTGGCCTCCTGCGGGCGCGGAACTTAATGAAGAATGAAAATTAGCTATGTATATGAAATAGTATTGTTAAAAATCCCTAATAAATGCAATATCAAATCGATTATTGGTTCTTTTATTATCGAACTGGTGTTTTATTGAATCTAAGTGATATCATTTTATTTAGTCGATTATTGAGCTCATTCGTTCGCATACTATATACACTAGTGTGGTTACACCTAATGAATATTATTTTTTGTATAAATTTCGAAAAATGTTTTCAGATAGTTTCAACGAATCACATGAATTCTAAGACACACTGTACACTAAAGATTAAAAATAATAATGACGTGGTAATTACACTATTGCTCTGCGTTTTTCACAATTTGTACCTATACCTAAATACAGCCACGAAAAATGGAAATCACAAAGAAAATATTTTAACTTAAATTGAATTTAAATATGAAGATTATAAGCGGATTATTATGTTTGCCAGTTTCTCGAACTTGTATGACTCGTAACTGTCCTTTCAGGATTAGGTACTATTTAATTCTGGCCGATCATCTTTTCAGTTTTCTTATGATATTCAAACAAAAAATTCTTTAAAACAATTTAAGCGACAAATGTGTAGCACTTTACGTGTTATCAGCGTCCAAAAAAACTAAGATAATATTTTACCATAAGTGGGCTATATAAAATGGCGGTAGTAAAAATGCTTATTGTCTACGTATTTACCACGCCACGTATGCTCTGAATATTGGTATAAATTGTATATGAGGGTTCAGTGGGACACCTGTTCCTCGGACTACTCGCCTTCCGCCTACTTAACCTAGCGTGTCGTATAAAACGTCAGGGGTAGGTATTAGATACCGGTATGGGATATTTAGGTAAGTAGATATAACGTGTTTCATTTAAAAATCCCTGTTTTATATTGTTCATCCTTACTTAATATAATATAGTAACGCTATTTCACTGTGCGCCGACCGAGTAACTTATATTGGAAAACATTCTGGAACACATTATGATTACATTTAGATACTTATTGACTATTAGTATTCGTACCTTATGTACCTACTCCGAATACGCCTCGCGGTAGCTCGACCCGAACCGATTAATAGGTACCTAATAACTTTTGCAAGATAAACATCTGTCAAATTGTAAAAACGGTTTAAGAATCTTTATTTCTCAAATGAATTTACAAAATTCACTTACTGAGAAACCTGTATATATGATTTTATTAAGTTTATGAAGTCTGTTATCTCAGATGAGCTATAGATTTTTGTGTTCAATAACATAAAGTCGCGTTCCGGCCGATCTACCGCCGGCTCTTGTACTCCTCCTTACTCGTATATAAAATAATTCATATATCTACGCGGTTTAGCTATCAAATACTTATCATTTAATTTATAATATTTTGTAGCTACTTAACTAGTTGGTGTTTGATAAAATATGTCTTCGTTAAAATATTATAGGAAGATTAATTCGCTAAATATTGATTACAGAGTTGTGTGTATATGTTACATTAGTTCTATTTTACCAAGTATAGTGTCGGGTGCATCCTACTGTTTGCTGTTTTTGTTTAATCCCAAATTGTTTATTTTAATGGTGACCTCTTTCCCATTTAACGAATCTAACTAAGTACATAATTGTGCAACCAGCGTTAATTCAGCGGCGACCGCGCGTGTTAACGGGACGAGACGGGACGGGCGGCGGACGCGTAAGCTGCGGCCGCTACAGCCAGCCGGCCGAATGGTGCGGCGCGTGGCCGTGCAGCGGGGTTACGCCCGCTAGACGCGCCAGGGCGGCACAGCGTGCACACGGCAATCCCGCCTCGGCACCCGGCGCCTCGCCGTCCGCCTCACCCTCTGGCTCGTCACCGCCGTTGCCCGCCTCGTACCCGCAACGCCCGCACGCCTCCTGGGAATCGTCGACACGCATCTCAGCACCGTCCGCGGACTCGCGCCGCTTTGCGAGCTCGGCCGCGGCCTTCGCGCCCACCTTGTGTCCGTCGTCGTCCAAGCTCGCGAGCAGCGGCTCCCGACTGCCGCCCCGCCCCGCCACGCTCTCGGCCGTGGTGGAGGGCGACACGGCGGTGGGCGGTGGCGCGGAGCGCGTCGGTGGAGCGATGGGAGGCACGCGCGCGGGAACGGAGCTGGCGCGCTGCAGCGCTTCGGGCGCCGTGCCCGCGTGCGCCTCGCCCGCCGCTCGTCGCGAATCCGAAAACTTTTTGCGCTTGCTCTTAAGCGCTGCCAGCGCCGAGAGCGGACGCAGAGGCCCCCGCCGACTGTTCCGCTCCGGACTGCGCTGTGAATCGCTGCCGGAGTCCGATTGCTCGCTCCCACTGGTTAAATAGAAAGGTACATTTTTAATGTCTTTGAAATCCTAAAGAAGGGCGTGGAAGAACGCTGAATTTACCTGGGGGACTGACGTTGATCGCAGACGGAGTCCTCCGATCTGGATCGACCGATGAGACGTGACACCCTGGCGGCTCGAGCCGCCTCGATAATGGTTCCCCAGCGACGCTTGTGGGAGCTGGGCTTACGCCGCGAGCCGCCGAGACCGCCACCGACGACGCTGGCGCCGCCGTCCGAGAGACTCGACTGGCTGGTGCGGAGCCGGCCGCCCAGCAGCGCGGACAAGGATCCGTGGTGCCCCGCGCCGTGCGACCCGCCGTGGTCGTGGTGCAGTGACGCCAAGAACTCGTCGACGGGCGCGAGCTGTCCGCCCGGCGCTATGTTGAAACCTTTCATCAGCCGGCGCTCTTTCTGACGGTTTTTTTTGCCGCCTCCGCCACCTGTCCAATGAACGGATCAAATGTATTCGGCGGTCAATATAGATAGTTGGATAGTGGCGGCAAAGGTTTACCCGGTGCGCCGGCGTTAACAGTAGAGGTGTTCATGCCAGAGTTGCGCAAGATCTCGACGAGCTCGCAACGGAAGGCGCTAACGTCCTGCTTGATCTCGTTGACGTCGTCCTCCGTGACGCCACCGCTCTCGGCGCGGCGCTGCTGCACGGTCACGTAGCGCCGCACGAGGTTGCGCATGATGGCCTGCGTACGTAAACGTTAGGTATGTGATCTTGTAGTCGTAGTCGACAGACATAAGTACAGTAAATATTAAAGACATCGATGATGACAATATTAGGAAACGAAGATTTACAGAGACGCAAAAGAAATCATTTACGATTTTTGTTGATATGATCAGGATGACTGTATACATAATTAAATGGCTAACTACTTCGTCTAAGATGTTCCTTGTGCCAATAATAAGCTGTTTTTATTTACGTTACCTGTTACAGTAACCTGGCTTATCCAGTTTAGAATAACCATACTATAGGCATGGCTGAGTCTAAATCCCACCATCCAAAGATTGACTGGAATGCCCTGGGCATTAAGTTCGCCGTTGTACAATAGTGCATAAAGTTGTGTAAATAAATAAATAAATCCCCGGAATTGTTAAAGGGTGATAAATTCCATGTCAAGTCAGAGTAAATCAATTCATTACATTTTAGTGAGGGACAAAACAAGAAAAAAGGTGTCGAACCTGGTAGCGGAAATCTCGCTCGTTGGCCTGCTTGGCTTTTCTCTGCGAACAAAAAAAAAGTTGAAATCAACATTGACATACACAAATTTTGATGCTTCACCTTTTATCTAACGACAGAAATACAATAGCTAAGGCTCTGAGAACTGCATCTATTGGTACATTAGCTTGTTGAAAATTTTGCAATGGTTTATAAATACCCTAATTGTTCTCATATGTTCTCTTTTGGCCCGCGCGTGGCCACACATTTTCCTCTGCAGCCAGCGCCATGCGTACAGCAAACTCTTGGGTGAAGGTATTACGTTAAACGGAGGAGGGGCCGTGCCACCTTCTTCAAAATAACTTATCCATAGTTTACTGCGCGCGAACTTCCACTCCACATCTGCGCGCTCCTGCAAGAGAAGTTCATTAGGCATTTATAAGTGGCATTATTTACTTTTCCTTATACTGTAGGGTCTTATACACTCTATAAACTATTAATTATATAACCTGTTATAGGAAAACGTATTCATAATGTAAGGTTGTATATTGGACCCTGAAAGCGTTAACTTGGGATGCTTTGTCGTAAATTAAATATTTTGACGTCCAAGCTGCAGACTTCTGTCATTACTAAATTAACTTGGAAGATGATCAATATAGCTAGCATTTAGCTAGCAAGAAGGAGGGCTGATATTAATAAACCTTTAGAGAATTTTAATGAGATTGTCGGATTTATCTGCATAAAAAAAAAAAAAACAAATTAAATGGAAATTCATTGCCAAAAATATAATCAAACTGTTCTTTAACTCGTAGGTACATAGTTATAATATATTCTACATATCTAGAGAATTTAAGGATGTAACTTACTGATATGAGTTGATAGGAGTGGTTCATCATGGCTATGAGAAGGTTGAGAAGCACGATTATATTGATCACAGCATATGTTCCGAACATGAGCATGCCCCAGAAGCGTGTAAAGATTTTAATACCATCCAGTTCGAACGAATCCAGGTCTACCAAACCGAAGGCCGCCCAGAATAGTGTCTGCATTGTTTCGAACAAGCTGTAATAAAACCGTTTAAAGTTTTAATTTAGTTTACACTTTGGAGGATTAGGTTCTTCACAGCTTTCAATTGTAAAGTTTACATAGTAGCAGTCGAACAATACGAAAATTACTAAGTACGCATGAATTATTGGTAAATACACAACAAGAGAAAACATAATTATGTGAATATATATAATATAGTGCATCTTAATTTATTTATTTATTTGAAGGAAAACCAACAGCTTTAACATTGAGATAGTGACAATAATATAAAACATTTAGCCAATTAAAGGTCTTCACAGATAAGCACTATTTTACATAATTTCGTGCGGCCAATGTATGTATCATACCTATTAATTACAAAAATGATATCACTCAATTACAAGAAAGGGAGAAAGAAATCTTGGCTTAACACCCGACGTACTGTAGGTATTTTAGTGTTGAAAATACAATTATAAAGATAATAAGAATGTAGTTTATATCTATAGTAGCGTGTGTGAATGAATGTGGTGATTCTGTTCTTTAGACAAAATGTGGACAATTTTACTTTTTTCGGGGAATGTTAAAGGGATCCAGTAATGAGAAACTGTTATTCTATTTACGTGGAATACGTATGACTGGTGACATTTTGATGTAGTTGGTTGCTGAGATGGGGTTGCGAGTAATGATGTATGTCGAGTAAGGTGTACGGTGGTCTGTGTGGCGACGGATTAAGAATACAGAGTGTTACCACCTCTATTCATCGGTGTCGTAAGAGCCGACTAAGGGAGAAAACTACGCAGAACAACAGCACTGCAGATAGACGTACCAAACAAACCCTTATACCAACCCATCTGGCCAGCGTGGTATAGTAGGCCAAAACTTCCTTTCTAAGGAGAGGCTTATGTCCAGCAGTGGACTATTAAAGGCTGTTGATGATTTGATGTGATCAGTACAGGGTATGGGAACACCACATTGATTTGGGTTCATATTTGTGACAATTTGATTTTGGTGCCATGTTGTTGATTTATTGTTGAGGACTTCGCACAAGAACATCATGCCACCATGCCATGCCATACGGCTTGGCGTCTGTCTTCCAGGGTATTTTGTTTTTTTTTATATTGACACGATTGCTCATATATTATGCTTTTTAATTGGGCTTTATAGTTTAAGTGTCTAATGAATTTCTGTTGTATTCTTTAAAGCGGCGGCAGCCTAGTGGTTAAGGTAGTTGGACTTCAGTCAAGAGGTCGTGGGTTTGAATCCTGATCAGTATACTACCGACGTGAACCCACTCCTAACACAAGCAATTTATCTTACCTAAAGGGGTTAACGGGAATACTAGTAATTTCGGTTGCTAGTAAACCTTTTCAAAACAGAAAAATAAGTATACCTATTTGAGTTTTAAATTCCATTACGCTTAAAATATAACGCTTTGTAATTTTAACATTTAAACAAATGATAACTCAATATTAAAAAACTCTCGTCACAAAAAAAATCTGAGGAGTTAGCAATCCGGCAGACTACTTTGTGACGGCAGACGATGAAGTCGTGACAATACCTTCAAGGTAACAGTATACCAAATTTCAGATCAATCGGACCTGTAGACTTTAGTGATATCCCTTCATCACCTAGGAAATGAGCTGATGATTTTCAAAATGTATAGTTAAGAACCATCTCGATCACATCGGCTTTCGAACAAAAAATCCGCATCGAAATTGGTCCATCCGTTCGGGAGCTATGATGCTACAGACAGACAGAGATACACAGATAAAACTTATAACAACGCTCCTTTTCCGTCGCGGGTTAAAAAGAGATTTTAATGCAACAAGCTCTTATGTTGTAGCTGTGTTTTTTGCCCACATGTTTCTTTCTTCTTTCTTTTTTTCTTTTCTTATAAAAAGACAACTCCCGCATTAGGAATAAATCCTGTGTCGCGGGGGACTTTACAAACATACATGAAACGGACACAAAGAACACCCAGACTCAGAACAACAATTTGTGGATCACACAAAGTATCGTCCCATGTGGGGTTTGAACCCACAACACTCGGCGTAGTAGGAAGCGGCGTGGCGACCGCTTAAACCACTACGCCATCCGTGCAGTCAAAGTAAAGTGTATTAAAGTGTATTAAAAGAGACCGAGAATATTTCGACTTACTTTCACAGTAAATACAACTTAAGTATACACTACAGTGTAACAACGTAATTTAGTTGTCATAATTCACTTTGTTATTCACCGGGCAAAGTGCCAGCTGATAACTCCAGCTTCAATAGACGTTTACGACTCCATCGTGGAAATTGAACCAATTATCTCCCTCTCATAATCTGTATGTGTAGCGTGCATATAAAGACGAGTAGTAAAACAAAATGGCGTCTTTATACTGCCAATTTCGTGAACATCAATGTTTGTAAGACTGTCGTGTCGACTGATGTGTCGATAAGACAGTGGCTGGATGCCAAATGTTAGTTATGTTTCGCGATAAAACATCAGCTTTCACCGTAATATTATTGAAATAGATGGTACTCGTATCGTATGAGTATTGTTTTTTTTTTAAATCATTGATGTAGTATGTTTCTATCTAAAAACGGTAAGCAGGAACTCATTAAACACGTGGATGTGATGAGACGGAATATCGTCTGGCAAAATTTTAGGTACTACGTAAATCTCCTTTTAATCCAAACTTGCCAATTTTAATTTTAAGTTTCTTAAATTATTCTGCTATAAAACCTAATCGATGATGTAGGTATTGATTTGTATGCTTAGTCATTTCTAAAATGTATACATTATAATATAATCTTCAGTTCAAGTGCGTAGTGATAATTTATTACACGAACAAAATGAGTTTTCCAAGTATATAGTTCATTAGCTCACTTGGCAAAACGGCGCCAGACAACGCACGCGTCGGGGTCGTGCACGGTGCCGTTGGTGGCCAGCGACGTGCCACCAGTCGGGCATCGTTTCTTCTCCATGTCTGCATAATACCAGAGCAGCTGGTTCAGACCTGTCACGCGCACAATAAGATCTTATTACAAGTGTATTAGGGTTGTAATAAAATATTAGGGGCTAAAGTATGAAATTGCCGATTTGTAAATTGATAACTCGTTTAAGATGTAACATTTATTTAATAAAAATATTTACCCTCATTATCTATACATTGCCGCCATGTAAACGGAAGTTCATTTATGCCTTTACGATAGAACTCTGAGGATCTAGATTCTAGAAAATTGTCAAAATCATGAAAGTAAATGTAGTCCTTTGGTGCAAGGTCTGGCGAGTACGGATGATGACGTATGGTTTCTAACTGCAGCTCTTGTAGAGTTACAACGGTGTGAGTGTGAGGTCTTACGTTATCATGGAGCAATGATGGTGAAGATCGATTCACGAGTCGGGGCTGTTTCACTGAAAGTTTTGCCATCATTGTTCGAAATTTTGGCACTCGGCGTTTCCATTACGAAAGCATTTAAACCAAAAACGCACGGTGCATTCATAAGTAGTCTCCTCTCCAAATGCAGCGTTGATATTGCCAGCCGTTTCTGCTGTCCTCAGCGTCGGAACTCGTATTCAAAAATGACTCGACTTTTCAAAGTATCCTTCTTTCACGTCTAAGCTAAATAAATAAAAAATTGTTGATTGTTGCTAATTTTTTAAAAGAACCTCTTGAAAGAAGAATAGCTACCATGTGAAAATAGTTTCACAGAAAAATCTCACAACCTGAAAGTTTTATGCCAATTCAAAGTCCTATCTTTTACTATATAACGGCAATTTCATACTTTAACCCCTATTATTACAGTTAGAAAAATATAAAAACGGCTTAGATTCTGAGAATCCCAATTCTAAAGATAGTGTGCTGAACCGGGTAAAAACTAAATGCTTAGAACCTGATTCAGAACTCTATCTACTATCACTATCATTGATATCACCTTGTATTGAATTATTAATATTGCTTATTAAAACAAACTTGTTAAATAAAAGGTGATATATGAATAGAAATTTGGTGACTGACGATGTTAGATAAATGTACACACCGCCATCTTGTGAAGTTTAACTAAACTATATAGTGACTACTGATCTTGTATCACGCTATCGAAATTAGTATACAAGGAACTTCCCAAATTGAACCGTTGAGGGTTTTAAGATAAACCAAAAAAATCCAAATGAAAACTATTCTAACTTTGAGCTTTCCGATCAATGATATATAATTATAATAGGTGTAGGAAAGATTGGCCTCCGGTTTTCGAAGACTGGATCGGACCCAGTCTTCGAAAACCAGTCTGTGTCAACGGAGGTGCAATCTGACAGCGAAATCAGACAGTTGAAAGAGATGTAATACCTATTATGTGATCACGCTAATTTCCATAACATACGAGTATATACATAGTTATAAATTTTACCATGGCAACATAAATTTGGTGTGTTCATGAATCAAGAATTACTTACCACATGAGAAAGCAAATATAACTAAAATATCTAACACGAAGAATTTGAGGATATCTAGCACCATGCGACTGAGGGACACCTGCAGTGGCCCGAGGTGGGGGTTCACACTGAAGATGTACACCAATTTAAGACTGCTGAAGATGTTGGCTGCCGAGAATAGACCCTCGGATAACAGCATCGGGTCCCACGCGTCCCACTTTTCGCGAGGCTGGTTCCATTGGAGTCCCATTGCCATCTCACGCCGCACCTGAAATATATTTAGAAATATTGTAGTAGGTTATTTTTTTTATAGCACAGGGGGCAAACAAGCAGACTGGTCACCTAATGGTAAGTGACTACTGCCACCATTGGACATCTGCAACTCAGGAATCATACTTTGAATCCCTTCCCCTAGTATCAGGAGGAAAAGAGGTTTGAGTCTGATAATCTGATGATTATTCGCCGAAAAGCAACAGAAAGTTTAATGCTTAACTTGTGAGGCCCTGGTATTCCGTCTGTCAAACCGGCCCACTGGTACCGAAGCATGGCTCTCCCACAGTAGAAGTTTATGTACTTGTGATAGTGCTTACAACATTCTATGTATTTTAAGAGCATTCTCTACTTACTTACTACTATGTTTATCATGTAATTCCAAACAAATTATAACATTTCTCTCGGATGATTGTATGAAAATACTCGTTACTCTATTCTATTAATTAACGATACATTCTTATAAAATATACGATACATTCTAACATTCTATTCTGCAGAATACACTAATAAAATGAAGTGAGGCCTTAATTTTAACTTAATTAAATGTCCTATTTTTTTTAAAGTTTATTATCTTAACGTCGGTAAGAAAACTACTGCCTATCCGTAGCAAGTGTAAGGCAAGGTTACTGGTCGAATTGGAGCTACATGACAAATTTGACACAACCACTGTTAGCGTAGTTCTGTCTATAGTTATGCGATCCTCGGATTGACACTCCATGTTCACAACTCGGTGTTCCATTGGTTTTAATTACTGTTATTATAAGTGCATGGTCATTGTAATTGGTCATTAAAACTATTAAAACATAAATAACATTAAAACTACTGCCAAGATTGTGGTTGTAGCATAACAATACCTGACAATGGGAGACAATCCGTAGCGCCACCGTAGCTACATATAACGAGTTAGTGACAAAGTCTATCACATTCCACATGTCGTGCACGTACTCCCGTAGGCCCATGTCCCACAGCTGCTTCACCTCGCTCCAGATTAGACCTGCACACAAAGGTTTCATAGTCAAATATCAAAATGTAGTAGAGAAATATGGGTCGTAGCGTATTCGCTACGCCGTAGACAGTACGTAGCGGGCCTTAGTATTTATGGAGACTGCAAACAAAAACTATCGTTTTATCTTGGTATGTTTTGATTTTGTGTAAAAAAAAATTTTGAAAGACAAACAAAATACAAAACATATTTCAATGGGTTGGTAGCATTCGTGTAAAACTACTGTGTATAAACTTAAAACCAATTTTATCTAAAATAAGAACCTAAATGAAATACAGACACATATGCCGAGTCTCATACGGTAGATGGTACACATGCAACTTTTATATGAAATTATTACAACATATATTAACAGAGACATTCAGGTTTATTATAAAAATCACTAATCAAACTGCATATTGTGCGTTTTATCATAGACAGTGTGAAAATAATGTATTAGGTACAGACCGCTGACCCAGGATAGAATGAGCCATTCGATGAGGGAGGGCGGTGACCCTCTACGCGACACCGGCTCGTTGTGTGACGCAGCGCCCCACAGCAGACCACCTGCTGCAGTCTCGATGCGCTGTGACGCCAGGATCAGGAGAACTGCAACATTCCCACCATCTCATTTCATACAAATTAAAAGTAAGTAACTGGCTATGCTGCTGTTTTTTTTGACGGGATAAGGGAGCGAACGAGCAGACGGGTCACCTGATGGTAAGCAACTACCGCCGCCCATGGACACCTGTAACTCAAAAGTCACGGGTGCGTTGCTGCCCTTGGAGTCCCTCCCGCTCGAGTCAGCGGGAGGGGGGATTTGGGCTCCGGTAACCTCACTCACTCAGTGAAAGTGAAGGTGAAGGTGGCACTCAGTGAAGGTGGCAACGTAGGAATTGCTTAACACCGGTTTTCTGTGAGGCCGTGGTATCACTCCAGTCGAGCCTGGCCCATTCGTGCCGAAGCATGGCTCTCCCACGGTAAAATGTTCTTAATTCAGGGCCTCAAAGGATTTAATCAACGGAAAACACTTGACCTTTGCGTAAATCGGAATCAATATGTTAAATTGGTTTTCTAAACGAATGTCAAGTATCAATTTATGAAGATCGAAGACTCGAAAACGAGACTCGTACATATTCTGTGAAAAAGTTATTTATAAGGTTGTAGAAATTGAGTTGAGTAGGTGTATGCTCAACTTATAGCTGAACGCAAATCTCGCAGTTCTGGTATCGAATTTCGCAATATACCGAAAGAAAACAAAGAAACAAAGGAGGATTTAAGTAAAGTCATCATTAAATTGGGGAAAACTTTAGATATTAACATTGATCAAGCGAGCATAAGAGACATCTATAGAACAAAATCCAAGGATTCATCTGACCCTATTGTTGTAGATTTTACAACCGTTTTAAAAAAAGAGAAACTCTTAAGCGCTGTCAAGACATTTAACAAGTCTAAATCAAAAGGGAACAAACTAAACACGACCCATCTAAACTCGCAGTATCTACCCAAACCAATTTATGTTACCGAAACTCTGACTTACAAGGCTCATCGACTGTACTATTTGGCCAGAAAATTTCAAAAAAGTCACGGATACATGTTTTGCTGGACTTCAAACGGTGCTATCTATTTAAAGAAGAACGAAGGCGCCTTACAATGCCGTATAAGCGTGGAAGCAGACATAGAGAAATTACGACTTACCGAATGACTATCCTATAATTTAAAATCATTTTGTTCTGCTTTGATTAGTTTAATGCATGCCTTACTTTGTACTTTGTCACTATTTTTAAGCTACTACATGAACATCACACAAACATACACAACAACTGAATTGTACACTACATCATTGAAATTCAGATATTTAAAATGCTTACTAGATATCTATGATTATTTGACCGTGCATGGACTTATTATTATAAACTGTTGTCATACCTCATTCTCATACTTCAATAACAAAACCAATATACTCTACACATTTACACAAATATTGCACAACACATCTCAAATATACTATCAAAATTCGTACTTTCGCAACACTTTTGATCCATTAAAACACACGCTAAATCACAAATTGAATAACCTGCACCAACCTTACCCTACGTTTTTTAATCATTCTACTCACCGCACAAATTCACTATACGCTCTTTCAATTTTTCTAATCCATATTTTGGAGAAAAAATGGACTGTCGAAGACTTATACCAAAGATTCATCATTCGATCTTAACCAACAAAATTCTCTTAACAGCGACTTGGATGACCTTTCCGTGGCGGATTGTGGTACTTGTGATATTGACGATTGTGCGAACTCTATTTACACCGGAAACACTTCTTTAAATATTATGACTCAAAATATAAGGAGCATTAAAAAGAATTTTCACGAACTCTTAACCCTTCTGGCCAGAACAAAAATAGAATGGGACCTGATCATCCTAACAGAATGTTGGCTACCTCGTAATCCTGACATCCCCCTGTTACACGGATATCATTTATCGTATACGAAAAACGTGAAAACCCAAAACGAAGGTGTTATCGCGTACTCTAACTCAAATCACAAATATACAGTATCCGAACCACCACTGGAAGATGCAAACTCTCTCTTAATTAAGATAAGTCAGCACACAGTATTACTTGCTGTATATCGCCCTCCTTTTTTTTTTTTTTTTTTTTTTTTTTTTTTCCCGTGCGGAAATCCCCTCGGATACCACCTGTCGGTGGCATGTCGGACTCGAACCGACTAAAACCGCACGCCTTCGCCGGGTACTAATAGCCGGGGAACCAGGTATACCCTAGAAAGGAAGGCCCTGGTGCCCCGACATACCTCGGGTCATCTACAGACGAGTAGACGACCCCCGCCCCGTGTGGGAACCCCATGTTCCCTGTGCTCCCTGGAAGCGAGCGCGCTTCGCAACGCGCTCGCCGCCACCCCGGCCTGCTTCTGCTAGGGTGACAGATGGCCTCACCTGTCACCCCCAGGCCTGCGCTTATGGAGGACGGAGGTCGTTCTGCGACCTCCGACGCCTGAGTCGCCTGCGCTGCCTGGCCCGTGCCCGGGCCTGGCGGGCCGGGAGAGTTCTAAACCTCTCCCGGTCCCGCTCCGCCGTCTCCTTCGCGAGCATAACTTGCTCGCAGAAGGAGACGGCAGAGTTCCACGCACTCTCGCTCCGCACGATAGCCGCAATCAGGCTATCTCATTGGTGACATCAACATTGACATACTGGCTTCTACTTCAGACACCAGAGCCGATAATTATCTAGCACTATTAGCATCACACGGAATGTTGCCTGCCCATAATATTCCTACTCGTACACGCACCTGTCTCGACCATGTCATCATTAAGACAAGACTTCCCGCAAAATGTTTGGTTGCCCACACCACCGTTACTGACCACTATTGCGTAATTCTGAGCCTCAATCTGCTTCAAAATAGGCTACAAACTCGAAAATTAAACACACGCATAGACTACGATACTTTGGACAAATTTATGGGCACTTTTGATATAGCACCTATTTACTCCATTGAGAAGGTAGACGATGCTACATCTACCTTACTAAATAGTCTTTCAGCGTTAATAAATAACTGTACAAACGTCGTCAAGGTCTCAAGAAGAAAAAGAATTATCAAGCCTTGGATAACTCCGGGTCTGTTGCGCTGCATGAGAAATCGTGACAAACTACACTTAAAATCTAAAAAACACCCCAATAATGAGGACATTAGGCTGACCTATACCAGATATCGCAATTTTTGCAATGAGGTATTAAAAAAAGCTAAAACAGAATACGAAAAGACAGAATTATCAAAACACCAACACAATACAAAACAGCTATGGGAAACAATAAGAAACATCAGCCACACCAAGAAACAAAATACTCCAGCTACTGACTTAATTGACACTGTAGATCCAATTTCATCAGTTAATAATGTGAATCACTTTTTTATACATGTAGGAGTTAAACTAGCGCAATCAGCAAATCCATCCTGCAGCCATTCCAGAGCTATTATAAAATCAACCCCATATTCCTTTGTTCTACTACCTACGGATACGTCTGAAATCCAATCCATCATCACCACTCTTAAAGCGAACTGTGCGGTTGGGCGTGACAATCTCCCAAGCTTTCTCATAAAAAGGTACTCCAACATTCTTTCTAAACCTATAGCTTACATTTGCAATTTATCTCTTTCCACTGGGGTTTTTCCTGCGGAGTTCAAAAAATCTCTCATTCACCCAATCCACAAGAGTGGTGGCAGGGACTGTGTCAACAACTATCGACCAATCTCTATTCTACCAACACTATCAAAAATTTTGGAGAAGATTGTGAATAAACAACTATATAAATACCTTGAGTCTAAAAATCTTCTGTCTCCAAATCAATTCGGTTTTCGTGCTGGTAGATCAACTAGCGATGCAGTCCACGAGCTTACCGATACCATTGTTTCCAAACTGGATAATAAAAAGAAAGTTCTCGGTATATTTTTGGATATTGCCAAGGCATTTGACACGGTTTCTGCGCCGCTCTTGCTGGAGAAACTGGAACAGCTAGGAATCCGCGACACACAGCTTAAATTATTTGAAAGCTATCTTCACAAACGCGTTCAGTGTGTAAAAGTGGAGGATTGGATAAGTGAGGATTATGAAGTCACCATCGGAGTACCGCAGGGAAGTATCCTTGGACCAACCCTCTTTTTGATCTTCATTAATGATCTTTGTCAACTGAATTTGGAAAATGGAAGAATAATTACCTTTGCAGATGACACGGTTCTCCTGTTCTTTGGCAACACTTGGGAGGAAGTCTATCAATATGCGCAAAACGGCTTCACACTAATTTCCAACTGGCTAAAACAACATCGACTAACACTGAACATTGACAAGACTAAATACATTCCCTTTCACTTAAATCATACTAACTACAGTCATAACGATACACACAACATAACAGCCCATTCATGCAACAGAAACAGACCATGCGTATGTCCGAACTTAGAAAGAGTAGATGACATAAAATATCTCGGTGTCACTATAGATAAACACTTGACCTTTAACAAGCACATAGAACTTTTGTCTAACAGAATCAGGAAATTAATATACATTTTTAAAAACTTACGACACATAGCTGATGAAAATGTGATAAAAACGACTTATCTCGCCCTTTGTCAGTCGTTGTTGTCATACTGTATTTCTTCATGGGGAGGAGCCGGAAAAACTCCCATGCTAAAATTAGAAAGGGCCCAGCGTGCAGTTCTGAAAGTAGCCTACAATCTTTCATTCTTTCACCCAACCACTGAACTATATGCTAAGGCTAATGTGCTTGCGGTCAGACAACTGTTTATTCAACAAATAGTTTTACGCAAACACTCGCTGCTAATATACGATCCGCATATAAATTCCCACAAGCGCAACAAGTCTAAGGTTTGCTGTAAAAAAACTTGTAAAACCAGTCTATCGCACCGTTTCTTTTGCTTTCTTGGTGACTACCTGTATAATAAGATTAATGCCATCCTACCAATATATGCTATGACAAAGTTAAAATGCAAGAATGAATTGTCTAGGTGGCTTATGTCACTCAACTATGAAGAGACAGAAATGTTGCTGGTGGTAGTGAAATAGCGAAATAAATATGACCTGAACATACACACACATACACACGCCCACACACACACACACACACACACTCACACATACATACACATGCATGCGTACACACACACACACACACACACAATAGTCTATAAATATCTGTTATTCCTTCCTATATTTAATATTCTATAGTAACCTGTCACTATGTAACAAATTTTATCCTGGGGGGCCTGGTAATCTGTGTGACAGGGACACCTAGTACGGATACCAGTCTCCCACAAAGGAATTAAACGTACTCTCAATTTATTTATAAGTTTTAATTTTAAGGAACCTTTGTGGAAGAGAAATAAACTTTATTATTATTATTATTATTATTATTATTATTATATACCTATACCAACCCGTCTGGCCAGCGTGGTATAGTAGGCCAAAACCTCCTTCCTAAGGAGAGGCCTATGACCAGCAGTGGACTAGTGAAGGCTGTTGATGATGATGCTCACTTACTCGTTCAAATGAGATGTCGGCGATAAGAATATTTAGATAAAAGCAAGAATTGTGATACTTTTTTAAGATGATTTTATCTCTATGGTGACTACGAGTTATTCAATATGTACTCAGAGCAGCGCATTCCCAAGGCTAAATATGGTACTATTTTAACATATGTACAATTTGAATAGTATATTAAGATTCTGTATTTATGTTCTAAAAATCACTCAAGCTAAAACTGTAACTCGTTACTTTGCTAACTATGTAATCTTAGAAGTCAATTTTACTTCTAATTGCCGTATCGATTGCCGTTAATTGGTATTTGACATCTTCAAGTTAATTTCACGATGAAGCCGGGATTAGTGACTCTTTTTATCTTTGAATCGGTTCGCCAATTATGCGTGTTTTTTACTTTTACTAAATTATAATTATGCACATTGGATGTTATTGGAATGAACTTATGGAGTAGTAAATCCCTAACACTCAAAAAGGAATTATATGGCTAAGTATCTCTCTGTTTATGAGATTTACATCAGTACTTGTGGTAATTTTAACATCTAAAGAAGTGAGTTTGATCGCCTAGCTGTGTTATTTACACACAGTTGTTCGGCTCGTTGGCGAGTTGGCGCGGTGTGGGTGCTCCAACCGCAACTGAACACTTATAGGTACAGTTGTAATTTGTAATACTACTAGTTCGATAAATCGTTCATGAATTATGTAAAACACACATATGTGCATAAGTGCTTTTGAAATCTTTGATAAATTGCGATCTCGTAGATATTTGTGAGAAGTTTATTAGAATCATAGACGAGTGTACATGTATACACACAAAGTTTCGTACATCAATGTAAGTCAAAGTACAAGTAGTCTAGTTGTACTAGTAAAGTCTTTTTAAGAAACCCAGCTAAATCCCTCTATAACCTCTATAACCAGCTTAAAACCCTTGGGTTGCCAAGAGCGACAGTAAGCTCTTTTTTTAACGAATATCCAAAGCGGCATTGCTTAGTCGTATCAAATATGGTTAGGTAGAGGGAGTAACACAGCAGAGAGTGGAGGTGAGCACTGACGCGTCGCAAGGAGTACTCCCTAAACCTATACCTGGGTCGCAAGTCAAAGGCGCTGTCGAAGTCGCATGTGTTGTCCCCATCTATCACTCGATGGACCCGGCACCCGCACGGTGAATCCATGGAACGCTAAGAAATAGGTCTAAGATAGTAGTAAGTTAAATTGAGTGTAAGCCTTAATGAAAGTTTTATTTTTAAACTGATCACTTAAGGTTGATTTCTGAGAAACAAAACGCCAATAGCAGTGACTTAAGAAATTGTGTCGAATTTCTGAAATAGGAAAAATGAAAATGTTTTTGTATGGTAGTCATATAGCAGTTATTGTGTGTGTGTTATATAGACTTTAAAATAGTCGAATACCAACTTTTACACATTCAAAATATTTTCCAAAAGTTACCGACAGTGGAGTCAGTTTTTGACACACTTTGTATCATGAATCTGACATTTTAAAGGTATTAGTCGTTATTAGTATTGGATATTTATGGTTAAAGATTGTGTTAAAACATTTATTATTTGTTTAAACTCATCCATTTCCCATCTCACAGTTCCATACTGCATACAAAATATAATCTCCACGCATAACTTTCTTGACGGACTGTGTCCTCTGTGTAACATTCACATAACAAGACGGAACTGTAGGCAATAAACATATTTAATGAACGTGTAAATAAACCATTAAAAACGTTACTGACTCACATAGAAACATGAAGTAACTCGCGGAATGACACAGAAACTTGATGAACGGTTTTCGTAGGGTGCGACCAGGAGCGGAGTGGGGGGCCACGATGTAAGCCAGGGAGTATAGCGGGAACATTGCACCGATGCGGACCATCTCAGCCGCTTGGAGAAGCATGTTCTTGCGACGGAACCCAGGGACGCTCTCGTACCAGATGGACGCTAATAACTGCTGCACGTTCGGATGAGCCACGAACTGTAATTATAGGTTAGCGTTATTTTTTTGTTACTTGGAACATCTCACACACGGCCGTCTGATCCCAAGCTAGGCAGAGCCTGTGCTATGGTGACCAGACTGCTGATAAACATACTTAAATATTTCGAAATACAAAGATTCTAAGCCAAGGCCAAAACCTCCTTTCTAAGGAGAGACCTATGTCCAGTAGTGGACTATTAAAGTCTGTGGATGATGATGATGGATGAAATACATACATGTTATAGATAAATTACACATAGACAAATGATCATGTTAATCATACAATTATTTGTTTTGTGTGGTAATCGAACCCACGTCTTTTAGCTTATAGCAGTCAGGGTCACTACAACAACTAGGGCCACTAGACTGCTAGGTGGACGAGCTTAGGCTCGCCGTGGTGGAGGCTGGGGGCTGCTCCCTGGACTACGTGAAGGCCGGAGCAATACGCTTCGGCCCCAGTGGACAGGGATCAGCGGTTGTCAGTTGACGACACCTGCAGGCTCGTCCGGCAAGGTGCTTCTGGTGCCTATCGGTGCACATGTGGGGGTTCAGTTCACGACAAAAGTCACCGTAGGCGACCTTTGCTTTCGTTGTGGGCAGCCCGGTCACAAGGCGGGTTCTTGCAAAGCCCCGCTGCGTTGCTTTAGGTGCGCAGCGGGGGGTAAACCTGCCGACCACCGGGTTGGCAGTAAGGCCTGCGCCGGGTCGGCCGAGCCGAGGGGGGTCGGCCTTCTGCCCCTAAGTCGTCAACGGAGACAGAGGGTGTAGCTGGAGAGCGACAAGGTTCACAGCGGGATTCAGAGATGGAAATCCAATAATGGATCCAAATATCCGAATCTTCCAGGCGAATGTGGGTCACGGTGCCGTTACTCGGGGTCTTCTGTTCTTACATCATCGGGGGAGCAGAAGATCCTGAGTCCTGAGTCAACGTCGGGGTTTCCACGCGGGAGGGGATCATCTAGAATCCGTAGATGGCCCGAGGTACGTCGGTGTACCTGGGATTTCCTTTCTAGGGTACACCTGGTTCCCCGGCTACTAGTACCAGAGACGCCGTGCGGTTTTTGGTCGGTTTGAGTCCGATATAGCCATCCTACCGGTGGGTGGTATCCGAGGGGAAAAAGAAAGGGACAGGGACTAGACTAGAATTCTGCTATTTTAATATTGTATCAATAGACTGTCGATGGAATGTCATCGGAATAGTTTTGCAATTTTCCTATTCTAACTATGTAAGACCAATGGACTCCCGTTGACTTGTCACGGATACAAATATCGTAACAGTTTGGTAAACGTTAAACCTTAAATTTGAAGGGAAATGATATATTTAATTTGCCAGATATGGCAATGTTGTTAATATCACCATTGATGAGCCACTGTTATTACTTCGACAGTCCATTGACAGGAAATACTCCGAAATATTTTACTCCGAATTTCAATGTTCCTATTTTCAAAAGTCCGAATTTCATAATACTCAAGAATTATAATGTCTATTATTAAAATTCACCAAATTTTATTTTACCGAAACTCATAAATGCGATTTGTTTGATTCCAAATTTTTGTACGTTAAGAATCAAATGCTCGATGGGTTCTCTGTCCAAAAAACGATATGCCGATTTTTAATACTTCGAATAAACTGCTAAAATTAAGATTTTGATTCAGTTACTATAATATTCACATCATCATCATCACATCTACACATAGGCCTCTCCTGAGAAAGGAGGTTTAGGCCTGCTATACCACGCTGGTCAGACGGGATGGTATAGTGTATTTTTCCTTCACCCTTAGTCAGCTTTTACTATTCTTAATCCGTCACCACACGGTCGGGATAATATTCAGTTACACATATATATTTTAAATATACGAGTATACGTAACGTTTAATGTAATTTAAAAACGTCAACTTTGGTATTGATATTTGTATATTAATATTGCGTTTTGTCTTTTCTTCTTCTCCTTATACCTGCGTTGCCTACGATCTACTGTGTTTGTACTGAATTCTTTGGGTATTTGGGTTAGGTTAGATTAACGCCAGATCCCCTCTATTGTTGGTGACTGATGAATTTTAGATGTTTCGTATTATTATTGAGTCGGACGTTTTGTTATTAATAAACGTTAATAATACGTTAATAACGTAATAAAATAATTATAAACGTTAGGAATATTAAATTTTTGGAATTATAAAAATAGGATAAATGATCAATCGGAATTATGTTCGGAATTTTGAACTATTCGGAATTATGAAAATCGTTATTTTAAAATTCGTATTTGTGACTGACGGAATAAAGTTTTTCGAATTTCTGACATTGAATTGACGTTATTGACACTGAATTTATGTTAGTAAAATACTTTTGCCTAATGTCAATGGCATCTCAGTAGCTCGTCAATGGAATGACAGTGGCTTGTACGTTAACATAAAATAGCAGAATTGAGGCCCTGGCCTGGCTTTCTACCCTATACTATGTTCTTACTTTGACTCATCTGAAAAACGATTATATACCCAAGGAGGATTGGTGTCGAAGGGCCGCTTATCATAATAGAAACCAGCCAAAACCCTATGCAATTTATTTATTTATTTATTATTTATTTATTTATTAATTACGCCGAACCTAAATAAAATTAGGCATTGGGTAGGAAAATAACATGAATAATGATTTAAAGATAATATGTGTACTAACAATAATATGCCAATATATTAATATTAAGGATGTCGTCAATTATACTTGGATATACTTTTCAAAATTTAAGAAATTGTACAAGGGAAAACTTGATAGTATATTATTGGAATGGGTTTCAAATTTACTCGCTGTTTCTACCAAAATTATGGGTGATAGAGGTTTTCCGACAGATCTGAAAATGCTACTTTAAATTAATGTGTTATTTTGTGGTTTGCTGTAACAATAAACAAATTTTGCTTTATCCCTAACATATCTACATGCTGTCTGGAAAATACCAAAGGAAAATATGGTCCCTTCATCCAGAAAGGAAATTATCAGAATTAAACTGTACTTCAACGCGAACAAAGTGGCGAGCTGAAACTAGTAGACAACATTTATTTTTATTTTTGGACATTTGACACACAACGCCATCTAATTTCAAACTAAGCAGAGCTTATACTATGAAAACTAAATTGACTGATGGAATACTTATATACTTTTTTTTTGTACATAGAAAACACCCAAACTCCGAAACAAATATTTGTAGATCATACAAACATTAGTTTCGACCCGGGAATCGAACCCGAGACCTAACGCTGCGACTGTACCACCGAGGCAGTAATATGCTAATTGTGTAACGTTTGACCTAGAATTTTTAATCAGATTTAATTACACTAGTATTCTCCCAGAGATAAAAGTTCGACCGTAACTCATTCAAAAACTTATTACAAAGTTCGTTATATATGATTAAATGTGAAACTCCTATAAACTCAATATACGAAACTGAAAACTTTGTAATTGATAAAACTAAAGATCTTTAATAGTTACTGAACATAACTATGTAGAAAATATACCAGAACTGTTTTGTCTTTAATTTAAACTTCTTTTTTTTTTTTTAAAGGTTTACTAGGAACCGAAATTACTAGTATTCCCGTTAACCCCTCCAGGTAAGTTAAATTGCATGTGTTAGGAATGTGTTCACGTCGGTAGTGAACTGGTCAGGATAGAGGACGTCGTGGGTTCGGATGGAATCGAATGGAACATACTAAAGTACAACCTGAATTGTCCTTCATTATCAATTTAATTTATTTTTTTCTTTTGGTATCTTCAAAATAAACATTAAATATAAATGATTTGATGATGACGTCACCTTAGTATTTCATACAAAAATGTACCGCGTGTTTCCTTTTGACGTTTAATAACAAGATACTGATTTGACTTGACACTTATCTTCAGTCTAAATAAAACGGATCCAAAGAGAATTTCGTGCAAAAAAATAACGCTACAAAACAAATGAATATCATTAATTTCAACAAATAACTATCCTGAGTTTTTGACATCTGTTCTTTGAAAAAAAGGGAAGATGAGGCAATAAATGTGGTGATGAGGGAAGCGAGGCAAAATGGAAATGAAAAAAATAGGTTTATTATAGACAAATTAATATAATCACTTATTTAAAAAAACCCAAGTATTCCTAGTGAAAAATAAAAACGAATGACTAAACGGAGAGTCGTGATAATAAAAGAGTTCAAATTGGGTGAGAAGTACCTACCGTAAGTCTCAGACGAGCTACGGGACCAAGACTACAGTAGTTCTTAGAGGCCGGGGTTACGTACCCGTATGCTAGTCCAGTAATTGGAGAGGCAACTTGAACAGGTACATCCACTAGTCAGGTTTTTTTATAATATAGAAGGCAAACGTGCAGGCGGACCACCTGACGGGCGTGTTGGTCTAGTGGTTAGTGACCCTGATTGCTAAACCGAAGGTGTTGGGTTCGATTCCCGCCCAGAACAAAAATTGTGTGATGAGCACGGTCATTGCTTCTGTGTCTGGGTGTAATTTATCTAAAATATATATGTATTTAAAAATATATAAGTATGTTTATCAGCAGTTCGGTTGCCGTAGTACAGGCTCTGCCTAGTTTGGGATCAGACGGTCGTGTGTGAGATGTGTGATATATATACATATATGTATATTATTATTATTACCCATGTATAGTGAATAGAGTACCACCGATTAATTGTACTTTGTATTATAACGAAGTTAATATTATGATACAAGATACAATGTAAGTTACTAAAAATAGTAAATATAAAATTTAACCAACCAGATCCAAGTTTAACCAAGTGCTGTGACACTCTCCGAGCTACACAGACCAGAATGCCAGCTCAAAGACTTTATCATCATCATCAACAACAGCTTTTAATAGTCCACTGGTGGACATTTGCCTAGTAGGGTTGGGTATAGTAGGCTAAACCTCCTTGGCAACGAGGTTTTAGCCTACTATACCACGCTGGCCAGACGGGTTTGTGTCAAGTTTCCTTCTCTTTGCAGTGCTGTTGTCTGTTATCGTTGTGGTGTTGTAGTTTGCTCCCTTAGTCGGCTCTTACGTGAAACACCCCGTATTCTTAATCCGTCGCCACACTGAATCAAAGACTTCACTTCGACTTTGACATAGAGCGCTAACCAGCAGAAGGGTCCTGATGATAAGTGACTATTGCTATCCATGAACACATTCTATAAAAGAGACCATCCATGACCCACTTTGAGTGACCCCCAGTGTATCAATCGGGTCGAGCCGGGACATATGTGCAGAAGCATTGCTCTCCCACGGTTATTATTTATGTAATAATATGTTAGATAAATAATAATACAAAGTAAATCTTCGGTCTATAGCAACTCGTAATTTTATATATTTATGGAAATTAATTAGATGCCCTTTAAAATCCTTTTATTTTTGTAAATAATGAGGGAATCATATTTAACAAGTACAGTCAGTCAAAAATTAATAAATAAAAATTTACAAATTCTAAAACATACTTTTACTTTTGACTGCCTCGGTGGCACAGTGGTAGCGTATGCGACTGCTGTGCTGAGGTCTCGGGTTAGATTCCCGGGTCGGACCAAATGTTTGTATGATCTACAAATATTTGTTTCGGAGTTTGGGTTCTATGTATAATGTGTATTTATTTTATTTTATTTTATTTATATTTATTATAGTACAAGCTCTGCTTAGTTTGAAACTAGATGGCGTTGTGTGTCAGATGTCCGAAATATTAAAAAAAATATAATTAAATACTGAATACGTGAAAACGTTTAAATACGGATAGCGATTCGAATTTGCATTAATAGCTGTCGTAAACTGTTATATGTCGAATATCATTACACCCGAGTTTTTAAATGATCAAAAAGAAACACCTTCACCATTTTAGAAACTCAATATAGATAAATGAAGCTCAAACAATTCCCTTTCCCAATATTGGTACCAAACAAAAAGGCCTTAAACTATGTAAAACAAACGAGTAAGTGATTTATTTATGTTTATGGCTTTACCTCCTCAGAGGATAAAGTAAATTGTTTTTAAATCAGTCTACCCGTGACCCTGAGGGGTACGTGCGAAATCGATCGGAACATCGACTATAGTAATACAAGCCACATTTCAGCCTGAATTTATACATATTACTAAATTCATTATATATTCTGTCTACTGTTTGCTGGAAAAAATTGTTTCACCGTACCGTATCGAATCACTACTTCTGCTGACTGTACTTGCCAGGCCATGATATTGATATGTCTTAATTACAGGGCCTAACTTTTGAGCGGATTTAAAAACAAGGCAGGGGTTTTTAACTTAAAAAAGTTCTGGGTGGAAATCTCCTTGGATACCACCCACCGGTGAGGTGGTTATGTGGGACTCGAACCGACCAAAAACGGCACGTCGTCTCGGGTACCAGTTGCCGGGGAACAAGGTGTAGTCTAGAAAGGCAATACCTGGTACTAAGGGTAAAAATTAAGGAATAATAAATACAGTTAATTTCAATTCATTGTGATGGGCCCGATGGCTTAGTAGTTGGCGGTCTCGACGGCTAATCTGGTGGTGGTGGTGATGGTGTAATCTAAGTATAATATGTAGATGTTTAGAAAGGTATTTAAGCAAAATGTCTACCTCTTCTGGGATAGAGACAGGAGTGTTTGTATATATGTCATCATGATATGTGCGCATTGAATATGTTGACAATATCCTCATAAATTTATTTCTATTTTTAATTTATGTATATCAAGTTAAGCTATAATGATTTTAGCTGGATAATAACTAACTCATTATGTTTGTAGACTTTTACAAGAGTTTTTAATGTAAACATAAAATGCAAATAAACTTACCTTCTTTTGTCTTAGTTTGATGGCTAGCTTAAGTCTAGATAATCGCATTCTCTCGGGTGCGCCGGGCTCTGGTAGCTGAGCCTGCGGCGAGCCCGTTTCGTGGTTCAGCAGCACCTGCAGCTCGTGCGACGTGCGCGTGTGGTCCAACAGCGCCGTCGCGAACTCCTGGCACTGCGAGCGTAGCTCTTGGTACTCCGTCTTAAATTCATGCTCGAGAGCCGATAATCGTCGCAATTCCCACGATAGCTCAAACGCTGTTAAGATCGGGTCTTTCGACGATAGGGCTATTAACGATGGCGATGCTAGCGCTCGATACGCGTTGATCCTCGAGCGCGAGTGTCGCAGCGAGTCCTCACGACGCGACCGCACACACTCGTCGCAGCCGCAGCGAACGTCGTGAGGCACGGGCAACATCGCACCGCGGTCTAGAAGCAGCTTGATGATCTCGTAACTGTCACGATGCGCTGCCAGAATCAGTGGCGTGATATCTGCTGTAAACGTCGCCGTTTCGGGTGGAAGTGCTTCCCAACTCTGCAACAGAACATAGTACGCCGTAGACTCGCGTCAAAGCGAATACATACGAGAGTAGCGAAGTTTAGTGCTCACATTGGGCTCGCCAGGTTTGCGCGTGCGCTCCTCATGGTCCAGCAGCGCCTCGACCGCCTCGACAAACTCCTCAGAGATGGCGTGTAGCAGCGCATCGCGGGTTTCCACGCCAAACTCGAGCAGCAGCTCAACCATCTCCAAGTTCTCGTTGTCGATGGCCATGAGTAGCGCGCTGCGGCCGAGCGGGTCTACGCAGTCGACGTTGATGTGTCCAGTGTCGCGAGCACGCTGCAACACGCGCCGCGTGCCTGCCACGTCCCCGCGTTCTACACCGAGCAGGTACTTCTTCTCATCGAGGGAGAGCACTGCCATCTCCTGGTGCGGCCGCACCACGTTCTCCTCCTCCGTCATACCATGTATGCTGTGGCGCTACGAACGACAGCGAACATCATCAACTACGTGTGAGCACGTTTGTAATGAACTATAAAGCATTTGACCGCCTACGTCGCAACAATTCCAATTTTACCTCGTTAAAAGAATAAAGCTACGAGCTTTTACCGACGGTGGCCGAATCAAACTAAGGACCTATAAATTGTTCGCGTCGCTTTGTGTACGGTACACCGCACCTTTTTGTTCGTGATCGTAATAAGTAAGTGAAGTAAATAATGTCATTGAAGTCGCTCTGGGAGTTCCCGGCGTGGATAAAACTAATGAAATAGGTCTTGTAACGTGCCTTGTCGTAGCGCGAGTGCCTCGTACGTCTCCCCTTGATGGTATTAACATAACCACTTATCTACTTTCAACGATGTACAATACATTCTGTATAGAACGCAACCCGAATTTTGATTCTTATAATTCATTGGGATTCCATTTAACTTCGGTAGGAATTATGTATATTTACTTAGATTATGAATATTTCACTTAGCTTTGTTAGTCTTGTATCCGGTATTAGTGGGAATTGTTGTTATAACATATTAGTGTCTATGTTTTAGACGAGTCGACGTCGAATAAAGAAATCAACACGAGAGGGACAAGTGGAGAACGATTGTAGCACTGGCCGGCCACTCATTATGCAAATGGGTCGTGTGGGGGTTGGGAGGTGGTGGGTGGTTGTTCCAAGCGTTTTATCATAACCTCCACATCTTTGGTGCGAATAACATCACGTAGTAATTTGTGAAAATTGTCAGAGCAACTTTGAGTTTTGTTTTTTTTAGGAGTTCCAATCGTTGTTATTGTAAACCCATAAAACAGTGAGTAAAACTAGCAGACGCGTACCGACCAGACATGTCGCGTCGATGGATACTTCCTTGTGTAAATGTTTATACATCTGAGCTCCAATTCCTGCTCACGCGAAGCTTCGTTTCAGTAAATACTTAAATAAAACTTTTTATTGTTCCATTGATAGGTGAAGCACTCGTTACCTGCTCACGAATAAACTACACCAGTTACTGATTGCAAAGAGCTAAAAGACAACAATAAATCAATAAGTACGACATCATAATGTGGCACTCTTGTTTATATGTATGGGTGTGTTTGTACAAGGATACCTACTTGTAGCAACCGGTAGCGAACCTTATTGCTAAACTTTCGAGACGCGGAAACATTTTAAATAGTTCGTAAACACGCCGTTTGGTACAAACTTTATAACGTGATGATATGATTTCCATATGAATAATGACGTGTGTTACAGTTACAGATTAAGATTACTTTTACAATAAACTATATCTTTTATACCTACCTATCTGTACATATACTGATAATTGTACTAATATTGAGAATTTTCCGAGTAGTAATTATGGTTATTAGTTTAACGTAACTAATAACTTAACTTTCAAATAGATAATCTATTTATTTAATTGCAGTCAAAGAATCTAAACATCGCTGCCTATCCACATTGGCTTTGTTTAAGATAGAAGTGCTGGATGTGTTTAAAGTATCACTTCACACCGGCCCCAATACGAGCCAGCTTGTATGCAGAGTTCAAGTACTGCGACACCATTTATTATTTTTGTATAGAGATCTCTTCGCCATTAAACATCGCATGGATTTGCAACCATAGACAACTTGTATATGGTTAATGAATGTACGTACATTTAAACGTGGAAGTAATAATGTCTGATTCTGATCACTATTTTGAACGATTTTGTTCGTTCAAGGAATACCGATAAACCTGTCTAACAATATATTAGCGTTCGTAATAAGTAACTCATTGCTTCAAGCGATACGAACACAACCACTTGAAGCTACATTAACTAAACGTTATTTGGCTCGAAGCATTGCTATGGTGCAGGGGCAATCACAACGTACTATGTTTATATGACAGTCTGCGCTCCATACTGACTACACCTAGATGATGAGATAAACAAACAAAGCGGATAATCAAAATTCTTCACTAGAGACGAACACGGCTAATGTCTGACCAAATAAAATGAAACGTTCGCCTATCACACATACACACGCTAAAAACAATACTTCAGCGAAGGGAGATATGTTTCCATGCGGACCTGGAAATCACAAGACAGAAGCTCTCTCTGCTACTTATGCATGTAGATTTGCAGTACTGTAATCGCTAAGCTATAAATACTACATGCTATACGTCACTTCAGGTGGCCCCTGCACACCTTTTCGTACCGCTTGCAGTCCTGGCTCTTCTGCAAGGGAAAACGAACACTAGCAATACTCAGTGACACAGGGTCGATCGGGAGGAGCCAGCGAACGCGATCGAGGAGCCGCCTGCGAGCGGTCGCGACAGGGGTGGCGTACCTTGACCTTGTTATCTAGCGGGCGCGGCTCCGGCGCCAGCAGCGCGCCCAGCTCCACGCGGCACGTGGAGGGGCGCCGCGCGTCGCCGCTGCCTCCCGACATCTCGGAGCCGCCGCTCTCTGCACACACACACACTACCGTCAGCGGCGGCCGCGCCCACTGGCGCCGCGAGCGCAGCCGCCTCTCACCGCCGCGCTATGCGGACGGATATATTTAGCGAGGGCGGGCGGAACCACTCACCCGCCGTGTCGCCGCGCGCGCCATCCTGCGCCCGCTCCGTGAACTGAAACAGAGCCGCGAGTCAGGGGCGTCGCTCGCCGCGCCACCGGCGTGCGCGGCCAGCGCCGTACCGACCTGCACGCGCCGCTCGCGCCCGTCGCGCCGCGCGGCGATCTGCCGCGAGTGGCGCCGCAGAGCCTCCAGCGTGCTGCGTGCCGGCGCCTCGGTGCTGTGACGCGTCTCGGCCCTCTCTGACGCGACGCCCGCCGGCTCCGCGAGCGCGCCCTGCAACGCAACGGCGCGAGTTCAAAGCTCCTCGTTTATTGTATTTGTTATTGCATCGTAAAAATATTTCTGTGTTCAGCGGTGTACGCGGAGCCGTGTCGTACGATTTGCAAATAATTTCCGTTGTTTGTCGTGCAAACGGCGACTTAGCACGGCTGTTAAACAGTCGTTACCTAGTTCCTGTTGTGCGTTATACCTTTTTACGTGTGGACGTGATGAGTTTTGTAAAATCTCTCAAATATTGTCACTTGGATTAAGAATACAGATTGTCACCACCCCAATTCATCCCGTGGGTGTCGTAAGAGCCAACTTAGGGAGCAAGCTTAGCAGGACAACAGCACTGCAAAGAGAAGGAAAACTTGAAACAAACCCTATACCAACCCGTCTGGCCAGCGTGGTATAGTAGGCCAAAACCTCCTTTCTAAGGAGAGGCCTATGTCCAGCAGTGGACTAGTATAGGCAGTTGATGATGATGATGATAATAGGCACATAAAAACGAAGAGTGTTGGAAACCATAACCATAATTAAATAAATTTAATATTGTTCCATAACTTGCTTTGCTTAACTTTTCAACCAGTTGCACTGGCCGTGGTCACGGGCTCACTTATATTGCCAGTTGCTTTGAAAATTAAAGTTCAATTCAAAGTCAAAATTGAAAATCAATTCAAAATACCTTTGGCATATACATTACTCCCTCGGGGATATACCTAGACTTGAGTTTAGTGTGTAATATTTCTATACATAGATAATTATATATGAGAGAACGCAATCGTTTAAAGGTTCCAATATTTTTCTTTAGGCCCTGTTCCCTAGAAAATGTTGAGAGTAGACCACTTAAAGTCCACTTAAAATTACCCTATAATATGTCCCAGTACAATTACGTTGTTCGCTAATACTGACTCAAACTCGAACGAAACACTATTTGATCATTTTTAGGGTTCTGTAGTCCTAACAAGAAACCCTTATCATTTCCCCATGTCCATTTTTTTTCTCCGTCCGTCAATCCACAGCTTGCCGACAGACTATTACTACTAGAAGGCTGTAATTGAGCATCATTTATATATAAATTACGCCGACAAAACGGTACAACAAAATCTTGAAAAAATACTTTTTCAAGTAAAGTTAACAACTACACTTTAATTGGACAACAATTTTTCTTGTACTCTGGACCTGGACACTATTTTTAAAAAGGGAGTGTTTCCCAAGTGACCTGTTTGGCCTAAGAAATCTGTAAGAATTAATGATTATACGAGTAGTATGTGTATATTATGAACTAAAAAAAGTACTATGGCTAAATTAGCTCTGTCAGTCTAAGAGTTAAGTCGCCCGATATTTAAATGATATGATAAGACAGTTAGGGAAATGATAAGGATTTAAAATTGACCTACTTAGCAAATTTAAATTTATTTACAAAATACAAGGTTCCTAGAAAAAAATAAGAAGCATTCATTACTTTTTTGTGTTTAACTACGGAACTAAACGTGTTCTAACACGCTCTTGGCCAGATTTTTTATTTAGTATTATAATTATTGTGTAAATTGATTCTTTGTAATGTTGATATAACAAAAGCTCTGAAATATACCTAACCTATAACACTGTTTTTGATTCGAGATAGATATACATAGATACATCCCATTACCTCGTTCTCAGCATCAGGCTCAGTAACCAGTAGTCCTAATAGTCAGTTACATTTAATTAATTAATGAGTCATTATATTTATCACACGTTTTTTAAATTCATTTTACTAATTACACAACTCAGTGAAGTGAACTAGAAAAGCCAGAACCGTAGCAGTTCGCGCTTCGTATGACAACCGACATTTGTCGCGCCTCTCCATGGAGCAAGGCGACGGGCCGTGAAGCTTATTGTTTAAGCTCCCGCCGAGTTGCCTGGCATCGCGCAAATTGTCGTATTGATAAAGATACGGTTATAACTGAAACCTATGCCTGTGTCAAAAGCTTTTGTTTTTAACTCCTGCCACAATAAAGAAACAATGAATGTGTTACTATGTGGCGTCATTGCTTCAAATCGAATAGTTTTAATTCAACACATTCTATTCAATCATTTGAGTTGGCTGAGAGTTGGCTCTTTCTAATCCTTAAAGAGACGTAACTATGGGTCAATTCCATTCAAAAATCAGTTTAATACACTGTTACTTCAATGATAATATTATAACATAGTAACCTTGTACTGAATCTGTCATCTGGCATCAGCAGGATATCCAATTCAATGCAGTGTAATATATCTGTTGAGATATTGAAATTTGAGGACATATTATTCTATACCAAATACAATTTTCCAGCATATACAACTAGCTTTAAACACAAATAGTATATTATTGACATTCCTGTAGCAGAAATGGAGATAGGACGGATCATTCTCTATACACCCGAAATCGTACCTAAGTAAACATTCCACGACAATATTCTAACTTAAATAATAAAGTCGAAGTAAGTAACTCTCAGGTTTGTCCGAAAACTGCAAACAGTTTTAAATCTATTGGCTTTCGGAGAAAGTTGAAATTCACTCGTCGACCTACGAAAATAGCTTTGAACGAAGTTTGTAACAATTTCACGACTGAAATTTGCGTAAAGGAAACCATTTTGTTTTGATTGGTTACATTTCTACACAGTTCGACCTCCACTAGGACCTCCCACCTAGTGACCCTTCTGCAAAACATGAGGAAAGATATACTGAAAAGCAATAACTCACACACACACACTTCACACACAGGGTATATTCTATATAAATAAACTGAATACCCATACTGCTCCATACAAAGCTTTTGTATCCCACCAACGCATTTTTTGTCTCTAGCGTTGCAGGTGTCTATGGGCGGCGGTGGTGGATTACCTTCAGATGGCCCGTCTACTCTTTAACTATATCCCTATTCCATCTAAAAATTGTGCAGTTACCTTAACCAGGTTAAAATATTCAGAGGGTCAGAGATTTTACTGTAAACAAATAATATTTATTTATTTGACCAATATATGTTACAGTGTAGGACATTTTTATTTAAAATACATCTTAAACAGTAGTATTGTTAATCCTTCAGTAACACAGGTGTAAAAATAAGGTAATATTTTATTTATACAGATTTTTTTACACATGAAGGTATGTAATAAAATTTAGTTGAAAAACTTCAATAGCTGCCTGCCTGAATAAACCTGTATTTCAGGCGATCGCATATATCACACGAAACGTGCGACGAGCGAGCTGCAAAGTTTACAGAATTTTATCTCGAGTTCTCACAATTCCTGGTCGTAACAAATTAAATAAATAAGAACATTTAAAAGCACGCTTCTAACACCGAGTGTTTATAAGCAAGACTTTAAAACTTATTCTTCGATTATTTTATGGACAAGGAAAATAAACGATTTATCAACCTGAACGCTAGTGCTTCCTTAACGTTGAGGCGACGTTCCATTTGTCATTGTCCGTTGCGGAATAGCTGGTTTATCACTTTCAGTATAAAGAAATTAGCTAATTCCAGTTACGAAATCTTATATCTGTTTCATTCGCCACTCTTACGAATACAGGTAATATATATGCTTCATATTAATTAGATATCGCCTCTGCTTAAACGCAACTCATGAATAATTCTATTGAGCTTTACGTGTTCATTCAACATTACACCTAAGGCAGTAAATGCCTATCTATACCTCCCATTCTACATACAAACATACTACACAAGTACTGCTTTAAATTTTCCAAGACATCCACTTAGAAGGGCTCGCTGAACCCAGTGAGGTAAAGCCATTATAATTACATACAACCCAACATCAAAACGCACAGCCTCCAATCTCTGGCGGACGTGTTTCATCCGTTCGCCGACGAATTATAATAAAATTGTTCCTGACGAAAAAAGGGATCGAGATATTATGCGAAGGCTTTACGTGGTAGCTGCGATATGTAACGTTTGCCACGCATAAATTGTATCGTTTACTTATTATGTGTCTATGTATCGAAGGCAGGAAGAGGAAATATCTTGGACATATACTTTGTAACAGTAATTTGTCATGCAGTAATTTCAAATAGAAATCATTTCACATTATCACACAGGCTTTGTTGATTCGTACCTAGCAATAGTCATTATGGGTATCATTACTATTTTGATGGCCCTGTTTGTTTAGTATTTAGCGGTCCTGACTGCTAAGCCAGAATGAGTTCGATTCCCACTCAGGATAATTTTTCTTTTGTCTTATGTCTGGATATAACTTCTCTATAACATGTATGTATTTAGAAATATTTTATATATTTCTAAATAATATATAAATACATACGTTTTTCAGCAGACTAGTTATCATATTAAGTACAGGTTCTACCTATTTTAGAATCTGACGGCCGCGTGTGAGATGTGTGAGGTTATTATTATTATTAACCAAGTAGCATAAAAAGTATTCTTAATTTCCCATTGTGAAAAGCATTATTCCTATTACCGTTAGTTATGATGGCGGCGCATCAGATTAATTAAAAGTAACATCGCGCTCAAGATGAAAAAAAAAGTTATAAGTTGCCGGTGTTGCCACTTGTAATAAATTTGCACATTTTATCATGAAATGTGAACCTTTGGGAGTAAAAAATTGTTTTGGGGGATCTCATATAACGCTTTGGAAATAAAATATAAAGGATTTGAACGTGGGCGCGCTGACTAAAATCTTTTTATAATGTTGATAAAATGATCTTGTTTAGGGAAAAAAATATGGATATTGTAGGTACATTAAAATTGCGCATGTGGTACAGTTTCATGGGAGGTATCATAGTATTTATTAGGTAAGTTCTACATATGTGTAAGTTAGTTTTTGATTTAATATTACCAGGTATAAAAATGTGAATAGTTGTTCAACTACTCAGTTGAGTTTTATCAATTTGCAATAGGGTATATTTGTCTTAAGGGCTTATTACAATATTGGCTTCTACCACGTAAAAGTTAAGGAAACATTACCTTTCTTTGAACGAATTTAATGCCCTGAATCCTTTACCCAGCACTAAAGCCGAAGTGCGAGTTTACTCGATTGTCACGGGACCGAGTTCGGCGCTGCAATTGGCCCCCACTGAAATCTTAACCAATTTGTCGAGAGTGATTTGATTTGAAATAAACTTGAAATAAACCCTCTGTTCAGTAATGAAGGCGTGAAAGGAAATTAAATCGACATCATAATTTACTTTGGGCGTAAGATCTTACACAATTTCGCAATTGTGGTATGAAATAATTAAAAGCCGCACCTTAAATTAAACATATATAGTCTGTTAATATACGAGTACATACAATATATCAGTCAATGTATCACAGAAACGTTAGTTAGAGTGGTTACTATGTATGTGGTTTGTTTGTATGAAAGTTTCGAGTTTAACCGCAATATGTACCTTTGTACCCAGTAAGGAATAATCCAATCCTAATTCGGGATGGGTGGTTAAACTCTAACAGACAAATTTAAGTTATTAATTGAGTTAATCTTTATACAGATTTTAACATAGCGATAGAACGAAAAATCTTTAGTACTTGATTCTAGGATAGTCAATTAATAGTTATTGGCTATTAAGGACCAGAAAAAAACGGACATTTCTATGTAGCAAAACCCGAGTGGGATAATGAAAATTTTAAACCAATAAAAGAAATTATTAGAAAAAATGAGAAAACTTGTGTTGGTCCGTACGGCCATTTATTTTATAATCACAATTATTTTTACTGTTTATTGATACTTTCATCTATTCTATGGTTTTACTAAGGAAGGTGTACTAATATATTTAATTTATCTAAAACAATTCTCAACGATATGTCTTTTGTCGAAAGCATTCAATGCCATTTGTGGGGAGGTGGACATATTCGACGACGCACTGCCAAAATTCAAAAAAGTTGTTAAAAGTTGCTATGAGGTTGGTTAAGCTTAGCAAATGACTCGAGTTAAGAGGTCTCTTAGATAGTTAAAATTATATACATAATACTATTATCTATAGCTAAGCTTGTTAATTGTAGTTTGTTTGGTTGTTAATTTGTGTTAAACTCGCGTAGATGTTTTTCTATTGTTGGTTTTCATATAGTGTTACTCTATTATGCATGATGTGACACCTTTAAATTTTAATTAGATTTTAGTAAATAATGAAAGAGCTGCTGGCTGTCCAACTAATAAATAAATTAATTTATAGCATATTTTAAAGGGAAATACTCATACTCATATATCATCAACCTAATTTTTTAATGTAAACATAAAAGTAATTCCTAACAGTACTTAATCGTTGGTGATGGTTTTTTTTAAATTTTCCATAACGTGGTACAATTGGTATTGTAATATTTAATTTTCTTGAATATTTATGCTGCTTTTCTGTAAATTTAGCTTTAATTGCTCCATGAGGTTTATTTATTTTCACAACAGCCTAAGTGTACAATTGGTATTGTATGAGAAACAATCTACCACAGAGATGTAATATACGGTTGCGACGAACAGTGATAAATACACTTGATTATTAACGAGACTTTCGAAAGTGTATAAGTTTACTTACGTTAAGTAACGTTTTTTCATAGTTACATCGTTATCCTATTCCACTAAAAGGTAAATAAGAGAAAGTCTAGCTTTTATTTTGTAAAAAGAGGATAAGCACTAGTATCAAGTACGTTCATCATTCATTCATTCATTAACGCCCCTAACAGTCCACTGCTGGACATACCACACTGGCCAGACTGGTTGGTACAGGGTTTATTCCAAGTTTTCCTTCTTTTTGCAATGTTGTTGTCCTGATTGTAAATATTATATCACAGAATACATATGTTTAAAAGACAATGTTTCTATGTTTAAAATCACCTATTATCTTCTTATTTTACATAATATTTTAAGTCGTAATCATCATCATCATCAACAGCATTTAATAGTCCACTGCTGCACATAGGCCTCCCCTTTCCGTTGCAGTGGCAGTGATGTTGTCCTGTGTAGTTTGTTCCCTTAGTCGGCTCTTACGACACCCACGGGATGAATGGGGGTGGTGACACTCTGTATTCTTAATCCGTCACCACACAGATGAGTACGTTACTAGTATTTAAATTAGCCCCTCATATACAGCCACGCTAAATGCTTGTTTAGTGTGAGTTGTAAATGTGAGTTTAGTTCGATAGTTTACCGTGTGGGGTTAAAACTTGCAAATATTATTTGATTATAGTTTTCTGTTATTTTACACATAGATTTTATGTTTATTGCCACTGCCTCGGTGGTGGAGTGGCAGCGTATGCGACTTCTGTGCTGAAGTTTCAGGCTCAATGTGTGATCTGCAAACATTTGAG